TTAGCTAAACTATTAATATAACTAAAATAATTACTATTAAGCTAAATAGTAAAAAGACTACTTTTTAACTATATAGTACTTTTTATAAACCTTACAATATAATATAAATTATTAACATTAGTCTTCTTTAAAAGATAAATATCTATTTTAATAATTTAAATAATATCTTAATTTATAAAGATATACCTAAAGCTATTACTAAGTTTAAATAAGATATATAAGTCTTTTAGTTTTAAATCTATCCTTTAAACTAAAATAATAAATTTAGTTCTCTTAGGCTAAATTACTAAAATCTTTATACTTATTTAAGGTATTTATCTAAAGAAGTAACTCTTACTACTATAAAAGATATTAATATAAACCTCTTTAAAATACCTCTTATAAAATCTAAATATTATATCTACTTTATAGTAAAGTTAATATAATAACTTAATAAAAGATAATAATAACTACTAACTTAAACTTTTTAAAAGCTTTAGATTAACTTTTAGAACTAATACTATAAAGCTTTAGAAGTATTACTTATAATTTCTATATTATAAAAGCCTTTTTAATTTATAGATAGTTCTAAGTATTTAAATTAAAGAAAGATATAGCTATTTAGCTATAAAGTTAGTTTCTAAAGAAGATTATAATAATAAATAGTATTATTTACTTCTCTAAAGTTATTATAGATAATAATATAGCTTTTCTTAAAGTAATAAGACTTTTTACTTAAAAATAAAGCTTCTATTTAAAGATAATAGCTTTAAATTATTATTAATAAAATAAAGAGGTAAAAAGCTTTAGTAGAGCTATATAGTAAATAATATAAGTAATATACTTAGAAGCTAGCCTTTTTAAATCCTTTTAGCTTTAATTAATAAAGACTTCTATAAAGGTTAGTAATTTATTATCTAATAATAGGAGTGATATTAATCCTTATTAAAAACTAATAAATATACTTACTATATCTCTCTCTATAAAAAAAACTATATATATTTTAATTTTACTACTAAAGCTATTAAATCTATATTTATATTTATTTAAATAGCTATTTATATATAAAAAAGTAGAAAATAAAATTTAAAGCTAAATTTAGAAGATTTATTAGATATAATAACCTCTATAATAATATCTTTTATATTCTTATTAAAAAGACTAATAGTATTTAGTGAGTAAGAGATATAATATTTAAGGAAAATAAAAGAGAGCTCCTCTTAGTTAAATTCAATAATTTACAGCTAAAAAAAGAAGTTAAAGTAGAGATTTATAAGTATAATAATAAACTACTAATTATAATATATAAAGCTAAAGTTTAGCTTTATAATCTAAATATTAGGTTTTACTATTATTATTATTCTACTAAATAAGAATAATAATAAGAGAAATTAGGTAATTTATATTTAGAAGAAGCCTAAAAACTAAAAAGTAATAATAAATAAAAATAAGAAAATAAGTTTTCTGAAAAATAAAAAGAAGTTAATAAAAAGAGGGATAGTTTACTAACTTCTAATTTAAAACTATATTTATTAGTATTAAGTATTAATACTATAAATATATAAGTATAATTAATACTACAAGAAGTTTTTTTTATAATAAAATAATTAATATACTTTTTAGAGTAATATTCTCTTATTACTCCTCTAAAGTAGAGATCTCTTATTACTTCTTAGTAATAATAATTATTAACGAATATTTTATAACAATAATAACACTCTCTTAATATTTCACTTTAAACGTTTTACTTAATATAAAGAAAACTAAAGAGAAAATTAAAGAGTAATAATAGAAGCTTTATCCTTATAAAATTACTAAGAGTAACTACTTCTTTTTCTATTTAAATAACTTAAATACTTAAAGCCTAAATATTATATAATATAAAGAAGTTTAATAGGGAATTTAGTAAAATAAAAGCTATAGAAATTAACTTAATTAATAATAAAATAAATTAAGAATTAATTACTTTTACCTTCTTAATATCTAACTTATTGTAAACTTTTAGTTTAGAGATTTATTTATTTATAACTTTTAAGAAATAAGAAGCAATAGAAAAGAGACCTCTAAAGTTAGCTATTTTTGATACTATAAAGATTTAAGTTAATAACTTGGAGAATATAGATTACTAATAGCTTAAAAAGCTTCTAAATAGCTGTAAATATCCTTTAAGTAAATAAGTATAACTATAATAAGAAAGTTATTATAAATAAAAGACTTAATAGAGTTAAAGTAAAATTATTTATTTATAGTAATCTTTTAAATAAGGATAATAAAATAGTTTATACTACTATCATTAATTTTATTACTTTATAAATCTTTTTACTAATTATAATACTTAAAGATTTAAACCTTTACTAAGTTAATGTAGTTATAGTTTTCCTAAATATTTTTATAAGAGATTAAGATATCTTTATTATTTTACCTTATAAGTTTAATAATAGATTTAGCTAGTTTTATAAATTAAAAAAAGCTTTTTATCAGCTAAGAGAATCTCTTCTTCTTTAGTATAAATAAATTATTACTATTCTTAAATAAATAAAATTTAATTTACTCTAAAAAGAACTCTATATTCTTATTAATAAGGATAATATTATAATATTACTTGATATTGATAATATATTTATTATTATATTTAATATTAAATAAGTTAATAACTTTAAAGATAACTTACATAACTTCTTTTAGATTAAAGACTTAAGTAAAGTATAATAATTTCTTAAGTTTAAGATTATTTATTATTATAAAATAAAATAACTTTAAATCTTATAAATTAAATATATTAATAATATACTAATAGAGAAAAGTATTATGAAATATAACTAAATATTTTACCCCCTTAGTAATACTTAACTACTAAAGATTATAGAATAATATAAAATACTTATTAAAATATATAAATATTAAAATAATCTAAATAAGTTATAATAGATTATAAATAATATATAATTAGATATTATACTATTTATAAGTAGAGCTACTAAAGATTAATAATATACTTTTAAAAAGTATAATAAACTATTAAAATTAATATAGAGATATTTCTATAGTTTATAATAATTAATACTCTACTTTAGAGGTTTAAATTACTCTATTAATAACTTTAAATTATTAATATTTTATAATACTAATTAGTTTAATTATTAAAAAATAAGTAAGTTAATAGCTAGTTATATAGTTATATATAGAGGAGTACTAATTACTTAGAAATTAATACTATAATTATTTATAGCTATATGAACTTATAAAGCTAAATAGATAAATCTAATACTTAGAGGAAAAGCTTTATTATATGTTATAGATCTCTTTAGAGAGATAAATATCTCTATGTAATTACCTCTCTAAGTATATATAAATTCTATAACTAAATACTTTTAATAATTATCTATTAAGTAAATAGTTACTTAAACTATATTATATTAAGATTAAATATTATTAGATTATTAATACTATTAGTAATAAGAATTTTAAGATTAATTATATCTTAACTTATAAGATAGTTATTAATAGTTTTATTAAACTATTAATAATAGAGAAATATTATAACTTTATTAGAATATTAAGTTTATTTTAACTACTTATAACTAATAATAAATCCTAATTTAAAGATAATATCTTAAAACTTAATCTTAATTAAATCCCTTCTATTTATTTATTTCTTTTGTATATAATAACTTTATTCCTTTATATCTTACTAATTAATTAACTTTTATAATTAAACTTTATATTATTCTAATTACTTTAATTTACTCTTTTTAATAATTAAATTACTAATTTTAAAAATCCTTTATATAAAAGTTAGATATCTTAGTTAGTATTTCTTTAAGTTATAATTATACTAGATTTAACTAATAAAACTTATTTAATTTTAGACTTAAATAAAATTAATATAAGTTTAAAGTTTTAAAAAAACGATTAATTAACTAAACTTTAAAAGCTTTATAAAAAGATTAATCTTTAAAGTAATATTAATTAGAAACTATTATATTTAATATCTAACTTAATATAATTAATAAATTAGAAGAGAGGTATTATGAAATTAATTAATAACTTAAAGATTATTATTTTTAAAGAGAGAAAACTATTTAAAATATAAAACCTAAAATTAAACTAAAAAGAATAAGTTTTAGACTTATCTAAATTAGAAGCTAACTTTATAAAAAGAAATTAAATAGTAAACTTCTAAATCATTAATTTAAAAGTTTAATTTAGTATTAAGAATAGAAAATACTATTCACTGTATTAAATAGCTATTTAATTATTCTTATAGAGATAACTTAAGTAGTAATTTTAATATTAATTAGCTATATAAAAACTAAAAGGAGTTAAAAAGTATTTTAAAATTAAAATAAAATAATAATAATAATGTAAAATAATAAAAATAATATAAAACTACTATATAATTAATTAGATTACTACTTTAAAACAAGAATAGCTTTACTTAAAATACTAGAAGTATTAATTAAAAATAGGGTATAAGATAGTAATTAGCTAGGCCTAGGTCTAAAGCCTAAATCCTAGCTTAAATCCTACCTTTATATAAGGGATTAGCTACACTACTTTATAGCTAGCCGCACCTAGCGCTCATAGCTAGATTAATCAAGCCACTTCACGCACCCTGAGATCGGGCGGTGCCAGCCACGTCTGGCCAATCAAATGCACGTATTTCTGGAGGCAACCAGTCTTCGCCTGGAAGCAACCAATGACATTCATCCTTTGTCCTTTCCCATTCAACGCCACCATGAGGCTTGCTCGCAACAACGGCAACTACATGCCTTTATGGCTTGCAGATTGCGATCCAATTGACTCATGTTTGGGAAAGGGCCATCAGATGAGGAAGGTGGCATTCTCCCTGTAGTGTTCATTCACGAGGTATAAGAATACAAGACTGCTCTCTCTCATCCAATCCGAAGGGGACATCACACACCATCATCACCACCACCACAACAACGTCAACCTCACCACTACTAATACCATCACGTCCTCCCCGTAATATCCCATTGATAGCCAAATCAACACTCAAAATGGTCACTACCACCCACGATAATGCAGGCGACGCCATCGAGCTGATGCCAGAGATCCGCGCAAACACCGCCGATTTTGACCCCAGCAGAAAACTGACCGTCAGCCTCAACCGCCAAACTCCAAATGAGCCTGCTACTGGAATCTCCGTTCGCCATGGTGGAAAAGAGCATGCCCTCGACATTCATCTGAACCGCACTATTCGCGTGCCCGACAATAGAGACACCAACTCCCTACCTCCCGGCCTTGGTCAATTCCCGCTTTTCAAGATTCGCGACTACCCCGGCATGCCCAAAGACATCCTCGAGAAGGGCGGCATCTTTTTCCCCATGTACCAACGCGAAGCCATGTGGATTAGCTTCACTGCCGATGCCCCCTTCGCCATCAAGATGTACGTTGGCGGCGTCAACGCTGTTTCCGGCTTCCCCATGACGGAGAACGAGAAGACCAAGGAAAAGAGACAGAAGATGCTCAGCAGCGGCAAGTCAATCCAGGACTACATGGTCGTCCCTGAGCAGCATTGGCTCGACGGAATAGCTTCCAAAGATGGCAAGATTCGGCAGTTTGTTGCGGAGCCCAAGGGCAACGGCTTCTCTGTCGAGGCCCAGGTCACGGGCGAGGAGAAGGTTGGCGGTATTCAGATCGAGATCATCCCCATCAAAAAGCATCTTCCCACCGAATTCGATGTCCGCCATGAGAATAAGGAGCAGAAGGTCATCACTCGCACCTTCAACCTGGCCGAGAAGGGTCTCACCCCTGAGAGCACTTGGGAAGATGTCAAGGAACGCATCCGGGACGAATTCGACATTGCCGTCCAGGACCAGTCCCTCTCCAAGCACACCAACGCGACGAGGCGACACCGAGAGATCGGAATGGACTTTGGCAATGAGGTCAAGCTCGGCGATGTCTATTTCCCGCCTCAATCCTTCACTCTGAGTGTTACTCACGCCCAGCCAGTTCACCGAGGCGGAGGATTCGGCAGGTGCAGGAAAGGCGGTCTTGGAAGCCAGGGACCTATGACCTTGATGTCCTGTTCAACTTCTCTGCCTGGAATGGCGAAGTCAGATACAAGGGCGCTTGAAAGCGCACCTGCGCCGACTCCGAACGTTAAGGAAATGGGTCTCGCAGCCGGGGGTCTGATCACACAATCAATCGAAGCCGATCCATACCCTGCAGATGTGTGGGATATCGAGGCCTCGGTGATGACGAACCTCACAATCCTGGACATTGAGTCGTTCGCTGCGGTCACCGGCCAGCCGGCTCCGGACACGCCTGTCGACGCCAAAACCTATGCTCAGCACGGTTATCCCTTCTTCGAGCTCTGGGGCGAAGAGAAGAGTGGTATCAAGGGCGAGTTTCAGGAGGTCAAGAGCGTGGCCCAGTTGATGAAGGAGGCGGCTAACGCTGATGGCAAGTCGTACTCAGAGGAGGAGACAGTCATGTTCAAAACCTTGACCATTGGTCGCACGCCCTTCAGAAGCACTTTCCGCCCAGTAGAGATTCTTTGCAAGGAGGTTCAGGAACTGCATGTTTGAAGGGTATAAGAAGAGGGTTAGACAACGCATTAACTAGAACCACGTATGAAATAAAGAAATAAAGCAGTCACAAAATACTTCGCCAAAATACCTTTCAGTGTTCACAACTATTGTTTGAGGTGCCATGTGTCTTTCTTTTGGTAAGTTGGTAGTTACTTCGCCTGACTAATGGGCAACGGATTCCTCGGTGGTGTTGGCGGTGGCCTGGTGGGTTAGTTCCGACATCAGCATTCTCACCCGCAAACAACTAGCCCGCGAGGGCAGTTGGAAGTCCAGCTACCTACCTGATTAACAATTTTCGCAAAACCTTATCTTTCTGATGGTTTCTTGTCGGAACTCACCCCTCACTAGCTGCAGCCAAGCTGCGGGAAGCAGGCTGATGGGACACGACGATGCACCTCTATGCTCAATGCTTGGCTCTCGTCTTCCTATCGACTCAGCACTCGACCAGGGCCTGGTTCTTTTTCAATATTCCCCTCTGATTTTCGCCGACGTACCCATTGTTTTTGGCCAATTGATATCAGCTATAAAAATCTGTCCTCTTCAACCCCGCACGAGACAACGGGTAAGAAGTTGAGTAATGCCGTGTCGCAGTTTCATGATCCCCGAAGGACCCGGACTTGATTGATGCTGTTTACTATTTGGCCCCGAATGGATATTAGTAATCCGACAAAACCTAGGGTTCAGTCGTATCTTACAAAGCTTAGCTCGTGTCTTTCGGGTCATAAGCAGCTCTTGACCGAGACGACGAGGTTACTTACTTGAGGTTTGGTGTGACGGCTATTTGCATCGGACTTCTGTTGCTCGGAAACTCCACTTCACTGTATAAGTATTTCGTCACGTCTCCCCCCGCAACTATAGATCTCTGTTATGGAAAAGTGCTAAGAATCATACCAGACCAACCGTCATGGACCTCTCACAGCTCACCCAAAAGACCCTCCAGGTCTCACGAGGATTCACCTACACCTACTACACATCCCCTCCCCAGAAGTCTAAGCCCACCCTCGCCCTCTTCCACGGCTGGCCCGACAGCGCCAAACTCTGGGCAGGCCTGATCAACGATCATCTCCTCCCGCACGGCTACGGCGTCCTCGCCCTCGACTGCCTCGGCTATGGCGGTTCGTCCAAGCCCACCGACCCGAAGGCTTACGGCTGGCAGCACATGACGGCCGACATCGTCGAGATTCTCAACGCCGAGAACCTCGACCAGGTCATCTCTCTCGGCCACGACTGGGGCAGCGCCCTCGCCCAGCGCCTCTACAACTTCTACCCCGCCCGGGTCTCGGCGCTCGTCATGGTGAACGTCACATACATGCCCCCGACGGACGACTTCGACCTCGACACGGTGAACAACATCACTCGCCAGGTGTTCGGCGCAGGCCTCTTTGAGTACTGGCACCTCTTCGCCGCGGACGATGGGCCCGGGCTGATGAACCGCAATCTCGAGGCCGTGTACTGCGCGGCGTTCGGCGATCCGGCCTCTTGGCTGGAGACCTTCACCAGCCCCGGCGGCATGCGCAGGTGGGTGACGGAGGGGAGGACGCAGCCCACGCTCCCGTACGCCACGGCCGAGCACAAGGTGGACTTTATGGAGCGCCTCGGCAAGGAGCCCGGGTTCGAGGCGCCGCAGTGCTGGTACAAGTCCATGGTCTCCAAGGTGCAGAACGAGGCAGACAAGTTGATCGCCAAAGACGCTGTGGCGGTGAAGGTGCCGGTGTTGTACTGGGGCGGCGAGCAGGATGCCGTGTGCAGGCCTGCTGGTCTCCAGCCGAGTATCGAGGCTGGGCTTTTGCCTCATTTGAAGGCTGTGACGAGGGAGGGTGGGCATTGGGCTTTGCTTGAGACGCCGGCTGTGTTTGGTCAGGATGTGTTGGCATGGCTGGGGGAGACTTTCACGGAGGGCGACAAACCTGCGCCTGTTGCTAAGTTGGCTTAGAGCATGCGATTTTCATGTTGTGCATCTTCATCGCTGTGCGGCCGTGGTTGGCTTGGATGCACTGTCTCTTGTTGTTGGTTGAGGTCTTGAGAAGTGACTGTGGAGGTATCGGCATGCCAACATTCTAGACAGGCCTGTTGGTCCCGTGATTTGACGCACAACTTGGCCTATCGGATTATTATTGAGAATTAGCCCCTCTCTTTCACACGGGTGGTTGATAACAGTACCGCAGACTTCAAAAACAACAGAGCAATGACTGGTTATGCTCACAGTCAGACCGCTGGCAGATTTCCGTACCGGCCTCTGAGCCCACTAGAGAAAGAGATCCGCCTCATTGAGGTTGAACCTCTCCATAAGATCGACACACAATCGCCGGTCCGCTGTCGCTTGAAGCACGCCAGTCTGTACACTAATCCTAACTACATAGCACTCTCCTATGCTTGGGGAGACCCAACAGCCACGCGCGGCATCATCCTAGACGGACGAAACGTTCAAGTCACTGAGAATCTTCAGTCGGCGCTGAGGCATGTGGCGAGCAGCTTTGGGAACGATGAAGAACCAGGACCGACACTATGGGTCGACGCTATCTGCATCGACCAGCAGAACGAGTCTGAGAGGACGCAGCAAGTCGCCCAGATGGGCGCCATCTTCAGCACGGCGAAAAGAACCATGATATGGCTGGGACCGGCCGACGAGCATAGCGACCTTGCTATCGAGACGCTGCACACGCTGGGGAGGAGAGGAGTAAGGCTCCACGACCACGTCCCCAGCTGGACCAATTTTCCATTTTCCGACACCCCATCCACTCGCCGAGTGATCAGAACCCAGAAAATGCTCGACGGAATTCTGGCCGATCTCTCTCGAGGCGGTGCGACAAAACTAGCGGCAATAAGTTCGCTTTTCGGCAGACCCTGGTTTCGGCGAGTCTGGGTCATTCAGGAACGTGTGTTGTCGTCCAATACATTTGTTTGCTGCGGCGATGCAGATATTGTTTGGGGCAGGTTCTTTTGGGGCTTTTGGCTTCTGTGCGGCCTACGAGACTATCTCAACATCGTCGGCACCGGTGTCGGGCGGCAAGACAGTTCTGCGTTGGCGCTGTTTCTCACGACGGCTCTGGACAGAGTGACTCCAGTCGCTTTTACGCGGTCAAACTCGTCGTTCTTTACGTTGTTTTCCTTGCTGTCCAGAATGGCAACCACCCCCCAGCAGCAGCTTCAAGCCTCGGACCCACGGGATTATGTCTTTGCGCTGCTGGGACTTATTGATCCAGACAAGAGCCCGTCGATTGTTGCAGATTACAGCAAAGACTGGAACACGGTGCAAGTTGAAGTTGCTACAGCTTGCTTGAGCTTCTACGGCCCGAGACTACTTTCGTTTGCGGGTACATGTCAGGAAAACGGAACAGCAGCTGCGAACGTACGACGTGCTCCTTCTTGGGCGCCAGACTGGTCATCACAATACATACCGCAGCCTTTGAGCATCACCTCCGACTTTGTGGTTCGGGGCGGGAATCTACGAAGTGCGTACTCTGCTTCGGCAGGCTGTCCGCAGAGTTTATCGGGATGCTTCATCTCAGACAAGCAGATATCCCTAATCGCCGTGCATGTGGACGACGTCGGACAGGTGGGGTTACCATTTGTTGAAGCGGACAATCTCGCAGACGATTCGGCGCGTGTAGCTTCTCTCGCATCGTGGATCGAAGGCCTCGAAGTCTTGTTAGGAGAGACAAATGAGGTATACACTGCTCCGGCGGACGTGCAAGAGGCTCTGTGGAGAACCCCGATTGCAGATAGGGCATATGCGTATAACTGGGAAACGGAGAGAGCGGGTGAAAAGACCTTTCAAGCGTACCAAGCTCTTAGGAGCGGCATGATCTGCCAAGGCGTGAAGTACGCCAATATTGCGAGCGTCAAACTACGCAGAAGACGGCCTTTTGGATGTATGAAAGGGTATATTGGACTTGGACCTTTGGAATTGAGGGACGGAGACTCCGTGTGGGTTATACTTGGTGCAGATGTGCCTTTTATTCTTCGTCCTGCTACCGATGGTGGGTTTTTGGTGGTTGGCGAGGCGTATGTTCATGGCATCATGGATGGAGAGTATGTGAATTCGAGGACCCACCCACTGCAGAGAATTGAATTGGCTTGAAACTGAAATTCGGCGTCTTCTTGGATTTGCACCGACTTGAAGTAAAACTCACCCTTGACTTTGATCATTTCATGGAGGGCACGGCACCTATCGACGACTTTCAACAAATGATGGTCGGCAAGATATCCGAGGTCGGTCTAGACGTGTTATGCTCTTCACGCACATAAAGATATTTCATAGTAGTTCAAAAAGCGTACAGATAATAGGTCATCGCGAAATTAAGGCAATTTGTTTCTAGGCAGCAGGTTATTCGGTAGTCCCAACAACCATGAACCGAAGACTATTGGCACAGTGTTTACAGTGAGTATAACGGAATTTCGACACTATGTGTTGGCATGCACAACCACACTTCTTCTCGTTAGGCAGCACTCACATTTCTCAACTTCTCCATCACCAAGTTCCACCGCCAAGATGACCATGCAAATCATCTCCGACCTACACTTGGAGTCGCCAAAAGCCTACGACATCTTCGAGATTGTTCCTGTCTTGGCCTTGCTAGGAGACATTGGCAATGTTGCCGCTCACAAGGACGACTGTCTCGCCTTCTTCACCCAACAACTTCGCCAATTCCGCATTGTCCTCTTCGTCCCCGGAAACCACGAGGCATACGGATCCGACTGGTCCAAGACACTCGAGATTATTCACACATTCCACGAAGACGTGAACAATGACCCGTCCTTGGGGCAATTCGTCTTGTTGAACCGAACGGTCTTCCGAGTCCCAGACACAGACATCATCATTCTGGGATGCAGCCTTTTTTCTCACGTCCCTCCTGAAAGTTGCGACAATGTGTCTATGGGACTCAACGACTTTTTCCAGATTGAAGACTGGGATATCGACGCGCATAATAAGGCACATAAGCAGGACCTGGCTTGGCTCAACGGGAAGGTCGGTGAGCTTGAGCAGTCTGATGCGAAGATTATGATCTTCACACATTGGAGTCCCACGAGAGACAGTCGCTCCCTTGACCCGAGGCATGCTTCAAGCCCCATTACGCCTGGATTCGCGACCGACTTGTCAGGTGAAGCGTGCTTCAAGAGTGGAAAAGTGAAAGTATGGGCGTTTGGTCACACCCATTTCAACTGTGACTTCACTGTTGAACGGGGTGGGGAAGCCGAGCCGCTGAGACTTGTCACCAACCAGAGAGGCTATTACTTTTCCCAGGCTACGGGTTTTGACGCAGAAAAGTTATTAGAGCTGGAAGATAAGACTCATTGACTGTGTCGGAGGTAAGGGATCTTGTCACCATAGCTAGCCACAATTTCTACTTTGTTTGACTTAAGCTCAGGGAACACTTCTACAGTATGCTTGCGATGAAATTTCCCACCAGTTCGTGATAAGTGATTGACTGATCAAGAGGTGGCATTCATTTGGCGCATGCTTTCATCCTAAATATCTTTCATACTTGGCTGTAGAGCACCGAGGGGGTGATCCATGATCCAAAGAATACTGATCAGACACTTTATTCGCTTGGTTTACGTGTTCCCCTTGTTTCAATATATTGCAAATGTACTCAGCACAAGTTATTGGGACAAACAAATAATCGTCCTACTCATCCTTTTGACAGCTGCATCTACGACTCGTAGAACCATTGGGAAATCAATGGACGTCGCGAGGTTCATGGCGCGAGACTGAGCTCTCGCAAGATTCTCTCGAAATCTAACGACACCGAACAATAGCGTTTATACGTAGAATAAATATCGGGTACCGGCGATCAGAACCACCGGAAGATAGGTACTCAGAAAGAACACGTCATGCCAGAAATTAGAGGCTTTGTCCTTCCTTCTAAGGGGATTTTGCCAGGGACTAGCGCAGAGTTGCGGTGGAAGCTTAGAAACGTTTCAAAATGGAATATTCTGGTCGTGTGGTTGTAAGACACTGCGGCTTGCGTGGCCTTATACTAGCCTTCGCTTCATTCGCCTTCGCATAGGTCTAGCGTAACATAAAGGGATCTTTCGGTGTTGCTGCCCTAGTCCAGTTTGTATAAGGTTCAGGTGCGGCGGTTCTAATAGTTCATAAAATCAATGTAATGAGAGCCAGAGTTATGACTTCGCAATGCAGATATGTTATGAGAAACCGTCGAAAAGCTTAATTGAGAAGCCAAGTTATAAAAGCAGCTAGATATCTGAGAATAAACATGACTCTCCATCATTGTGATACAGGGGCAAGGACAGCGTCAGGCGAATGACATCATGCAAGGTTTTTCAGCGTGAGATGATATTCGATTAGTGGATCTAGTGGATGTAGACACGAGAGAAGATCTCACGGGCACGATTTCTTATGCTCGCAAATATTGCTTGAGCTTATGTCCTTCATGTTCTGTCGACATTATCTTTAGAGCAGTATAATCTTTGCTTTTCACTCTTGATCCAGAGACCTGGAGCCTGGAATTGATGAAAATACAATTATAGGTAGACTAAGACACCTATTTTTTACAGAGGCAAGGCTTGTGTGTCGCATAGCAGCCGAAATGGCGAGAGGGACAGAATGTTGTATGAATTCTGTGCCTGAAGTCGAAACGGGTGACGTTCTATCTAAACGCACAAAGAACGTGGATCTACCTTGAAGCATGCCGTTCCCTTCTATTCATCACGAATATATGCAGAAAGGTAGAAACAAAGGGCACTAGCAAAGGACATGTAATTAGCACTGTCGCGTCAGCATCGCGTACAACAATGAAAACCTTTCGGCGTGTTCTTGGCTGTTTACCTGTTTGATCAACCATAACCTAACGCAACGACCTTGCGATTGTGTCCTGATAAAGGTGCGAGAGTAGTCCCGCACCTTTTATACTTTGAATTGTGTTGATGTTAGTGCTGCCTTTGGATTTCCCACACGTTGCGAGCTTGGTTATGCCTGCATCCTGAGCTAAGTATGAAGCAAATAAATAACCTGAGCGGATCATAACTGTTATATCCAGAATTACTTCTTTCCATCTTTCTAATTGGTAGCTCGGCGCAAACGTTCCCACGGAGCTCAGAATAGTAGCAGCTTGCGAAGAGACAGACCGGCCACAAGTTTGTGCGAATACGGCCAGTGACATAAACACAATACCACAGCGAACGACAGCGACGGGAAAGACAGAACCTGAGAAAAGGTGCTGCCTAAAGGCTCGTGAAATACCCATAATAGTGCCGACCTCATAAGCCTTACATTCCAGATGTAATTCTGAAGATGCTAAATAAACCGACCTATAACTTGATTGGATTTCCTAGAAATCACAGAACGTGTCAAGCTAAATACATATATATATATATATAATAAGACGAAGGCGAGCCAACTTCAAGCATACACACCGATAAGCGCGGTAGATGTGATCATTCCGTCTTAGAGGTGAAGATCTCATTGGTGACCTTTAAATTTTAGGCATGGCTTGAGAATTTAGAGAGATTTGGAAAGACGCGACACAATGGTCCTACGGAAGTATGGTTGGCTGAACGTATTTCTCTAGCAGGCCAGAGAGCCTATCCCAGTACTGAAACGCGAGTCCATAGACCTGGCACCTTCGCAAAGCGCTTCAACCGCCCTTCGCCCGTGTCCGTCTCTGTCCTGTTTCAATATGACTGAATAGTGGAAGAACACTCAAGAAGGAGAGACGTCAGTAACTCTGAACGACAAGATCTTGAGGCATTGACGGAGAGAGACCAACTTGCAACCCATACTCAAAGACAAGGTCACCCTACGTTGTCACGGAAGGCCAGATACATCGTGTGAGTCTCATTTGAACCGCAGGTTTCAGACTTTTATATCGCTCCAGTCGGAGTCTTGGGAGCGACAAGAACACACGCCTCGTTCAATGTTTTCCATGTCACAAGAATCCCAGGAACAAAAGGCGATGATGAATTAAAAATGATCTTTTGAGGCATGCACGGGGAATCCTCTATCCAAACACTTCATAATCCCAACAACTACGGTATCGTAACCATGTCCGACGCCGCAGACTGCCACCCAAGGCTTAACAGAATAAAACACAAACCAAGCCCAAAGGGCCACAATGCCCCCCTATGTTCAATGCCATCAATGCCTCTTTTCCAAATCACTGGCAAGGTTCATGTGCATCAATGCTTGAGCAGTCCAGTCGTCGTCTTGGCCGCCGTCCTTGCTCTTCCACAGATCCATGCTTTCACGTCCGTCGACGCCGGGAAGATTGATCTGAGGTGGCGGTCCTCCCGGTCCTGCTCTCGACCCCGGCTTCGCTCCAACTGGCGGCGGTCCCTCGTAACCACCGAATTGGTTGAAGTCAGGCAGGTCGTACCCGTGACCTTGCTGCGCGCTGGCTTGACCCTGGTACAGTGTACCTTCGTCGCCTGGCATCTCTGCGATTTGGCCCTGGGAAGGCAGGGCAGCCATGTGTCCGTGCTGCTGGTCGAACTCTTCCTGCTCCAGAATCTGTGGTGCGTGCTCGACGTTGCGAAGGCTGGAGGAGCCAGGCGCCAGGCCACCCATACTGCGTTGACTGCCGATAGAAGCGCGGTGCGGATCTGGTCCGTCCTGAACGCCAGGGTCGCCTCCCATGCTTGCAGGATCCATGTCCCGAATGGCAAACTGCGCTAGGGTACGCATCTTACGGGTAACCCATCCGGCGAGGATCTTGCCGCGTTGCTTCTCGCCGAGGCGGGATCGGGGGAAGTCGCCCTTGTTGACAAAGGCTACGATGTCGACAATGATTTGATGCTCGTTGAGGATGGCGTTGACGATGACTGGGACGACGGAACCGAGATACGCCTTGCGGGTAATTTCGGCGAGTACGACAACGAGACCACCGGCTTGGAAGACGGCACTGCGTTTATTAGCACTTGTACAACACGGGGTTCGTGCACATGACTTACCATCCACCGCTGACAATGTTTCGGTGGCATCGTTCCACAGATGCTTCAATGTCCATGGGGAAGTGACTCAAACCGTTAATCTCGAATGTTTCACCGATATTGCCGAGAACGAACAAGACCTGCATATCAACCTGCGCACCTCCAGGACCAATAGGCCTGCTCACGTTATGCAGGAAACCCAGGTCACCAGTACGAACGTACTGAATGCTCGGATCACCATCCACTGTCCGGCCGTCGAAACGCTCGGCGTCAAAAATGTCCTTGGAGCCATAGAAGCTCTTAACGCAAGCCTCCGAGTCCACCCAGATTTCACCGTACTCGCCATCGTGGCAGAGTAGTCGGCTCTCGGGATTGACGATGGCAATTTGTGTTGATACAGGGACCATGCCGGAATCCTGAAGGAGCAAAGCCTTGGAGTCTTGTTCGGGATCCACGGGGTAGATCAATCCACGACGCAGAGCCTTGGTGTCCAACCCGAGCTCGATAGGTTCGATGCACATGTATGATCTCGACGCGATCATAGGGTTAAGTACATGCGAGTAAACAGTGTTGATGGCGGTTCTGTCGAGGCCGGTAGCGGCGAAGTGAAGCCGTACCTTCTGGAACACGTCCACGCGTGGCCGACTCTCGGCCGAGATCATCATGTTCTTGAGCTCATGGAGGGTGAAACCCTTGCCCTGCATCATGGCCATGGCATGGTCCAGCATTTGCGGGGTAGCGTAGGTGTCCTTTATCTTGTACCTCGAAAGCGTGACGAATAGTGACATGGGATTTTGGGCGAACTCGACAGGTGAAAGGAGGTACGTCGGTGTTCCGATGTAGATACCCATCAGGCACGAGTGGATAAATCCGAGACCAGTGGTGCTGCGAACGCACCCAAGAACAGGGCGCGAGCTTGTCATCTGGCACGTCTCCTTCTGGACCTTGCACATGCCCAGAATTGTATCGTGGCCGAGTTGAACCGCAATACGGCGCTGGTCAGGCGTCCAATATGTCCAAATGATGACAGCATAACCCGACTGGATCCAGGCGGGTTGCATCATGATGCCGTTGTCTCTCAAACCGCTGCTCTGCTTAGGCGGCTTGGTCGTGTTGTAGTAGTGGGGTATCGGTGTCTTCAAAATGGACGCGGCCTGCTTGATATGGTTCGCAACAGGCTTGAGCTTGACGAGATGGTCGACATCTTGGTTGACCAGGACAGCCTTGACGCGGAAGTCAGCAACAACATGCAAGAACGCTGGAACGTCCTCGTTCAGACGGTTCTGATCAAGAGGAGCCATCGGGATGACCACCGCTCCAAGGTTGATACAGGCGTGAACCGCAAAGACGAACTCTTCGGAGTGTGTGTACATGAGGATGAGATGGTCGCCTGGGCGGACCTTGACCTTATTCTTCAGGTACAACGCCACAGCTGCAACCTTCGTGTCGAATTTCTTCCAAGTAACGCCCTTGCCCTCCCTGCCACGACCATCTATAGTGCAGTAAGCGAGCTCTTCGGGTTGCCGGGCGACACGCCATTGGATGAGGTCGGTGATGCAACCGAAGTTGTTCAATGGTGTGGATGTGCGATCGTCAATAACAACTTCTCTTCTGTCGATACCAGAGTATTGCTTGTCGGCGGACATGAGGATATCGGCGCGAGAGTCGGATGAGATCGGCGACCAGATGCCTCCGATTGGATCAACACCAATTGGCAGGTTGAGGACGGCGTGTTCAACGCCGAACTTGACATGGACGCAGGGCAAGTTGCCCAGGTCGAATTCCCGCCTGCAAAGCATGTTACCGATATCTCTGCGTCCGTTCTTCACCACTCTAGGGAGAGAATTAGGAGCCGTAATCATAACGCAGTACAGCCTCAAGTGATGCTCCTGCATCAGGACATCCATGCATCTCTCAGCGAGAGAATCAAGCAGTGCTGTGTCGAGTTGCCTCGGAGGCCCTCCTGAGGTGAGAGGGGCTGTTGACGCTGCTGGTGATTCAAGCACTACGATGGGTAGATGCTCTTCGTTTACAAAGACGTCGAAAGCCGAGCAGTCGTAGATCTTGGGTACGTTTTTGACAATGCTGACGACGAGATGCTGCACGAAGAAGTAGCGATGCTCCGCGACTTCGGTACCGTGCTCAACCCATTCGACCTTTTGGCGGATTCGGTCCTCGTACAAGCCAAGGACGAAGATCTTGCCCTCAATCACCGTACCAAGCAAGCCGGTTCTCAGAAACTCGGGTTCCACAGGCGTCGGTGTCGGCTCACCTGGGTCGAACTTGTACGGACGGGCGTGGAATATTTGCTCAGTATGCTTAGGAAGAGCCCAGAAACCGCCCGACAGTGAAGGCGAATCGACCCAAAGTTCTCCAACCGCATGTGGTGATGCCAGCAAGCCGGTCTCGGGATCGACGACGGCTAACGTGGCATCGGGTATCGGATAACCAAATGCACCCACACGAACGGCTCCTAGCTCGCTGGTTGCCCGCTTCCGAGCCTCGTCTCCGATCGCGAGAACTACGACTTCGTTCGTTTTGAGGGCCTCTCGGTCTAAAAGTACCTCACTGAGCTCGTTCTTAGCGCGCTGTTCGGTAGTAGCAGTGCCGCCACCCCCAAGGAGACTGCCGAAGCCGTTGGAAGGTGCCGGTTTTACTTCTTCCTTTTCTTCCACATCTGATTCAACGTCGCTACCCATGTCAAGTTTCAAAGGACATCCCATTCGCTCTTCGCCTCCGAGCCAATCACGGATACTGACAACCATGCCGCCATGTTCTGGCAGGCAGAGCATTGGCGCAACAACCTCACGAGCGCGGGGGTTACGCAGAGGCCTCAGCCATCTGTCTGCCAAGACCTCGTGGAACTCGCTATCGACCGTCAGAGTATCGATCAGACAGAGCTTGACGGTTTGGAAGTTGGGCTCCATGCCCTTCTTGAAGTTTCTCGTCGTCATGGGATCTTGTTGGTAGTTGTAGGCGGCGCGCTTGAGACCGGGGTAATCCGCGATCATGAGGGTTGCCTTGTACTTGGTAATGAGGTGGGCGTAAAGTCCGGCAACCTCAACAGCCTTGTTCTCGAGCCAAACGGTGGTGTGTCCTCCGTAAACAGTGAGGAGAACACCCAAAATCATACCGATGCCCTGTCTGGGATCCAGATACGACAGTAATGTCTCGCTTGTGGCTCCGGCACCGATGAGCCGGCCATTCTTGTCTCGCAGAGTGCGGTTGAAGGTATCACCCGGCCCATTTCCAGGCACCGTAGACACAATTGCGCTCAAGCATGCCATTTGGTGCATGATAGTCCGGTGACTGAGCACAACACCTCTGAGATCACCAGTAGGGGCCCTTGAAAATTCAATGTAGGCAAGGTCCGGGACCGTCAGAGGCGGAACATCATCTTTGCGTTTCGGGTGGAAACTGCCAAACTCGTTCGTCTTCCACCACTCAACACCCTTGGGCCAATTCAGTTTCTGCGTTGTTATGTCGCGCTGGAATGTCTTCAGATTGTTGTCCGTGGTGAGAGCCAAATGCGCCTGAGTCGACGTGAGAATCAGGTTCAATTTCTGGTAGTCCTGCAAGTCATTGATGGGGACCGCCACGACACCGGCGATGAAACAGCCCAGCAGAGCGATCGCAAAATCGATGACTTCCGTGTCACGGTAAATAAGCGCAACTCGGTCTCCCCTGTAGAGCGAGCTCTTGTCTCGGATGACTTGTGCGACCTTCTCGGCTCTTGACGCGAGCTTGTCCCACGTAATGGAGGCAATTTCTTTGCCTTTGCTGTCCAGTACCCAGTACGCGGGAAGTTTTGCTGTCGTCTTGCCCCGGTGCCTCAAGACAGCGGCGATATTATCAAACTTTGACATTGGGGTATTGCTGTCGTGCGGGTCGGAGATGGCAAACGGGAGATCGCGAGGTTCTAGGGGCATCTGGTACTCCAGCGACTCTGGTGGAGGTAGATCGTTTGCAGTCAACATGGGTGGTGCCATGGCTGCCGTGGGCGAGAAGGCCTCGCCGGAGGAATACCTATGTCCTCCGCCGTACTCTTCATGTGGAGGCTGGTCAAAATTCTGGCCTCCAGTAAAGCCCGAGAAATAACCTGTCGTGTCCAACATCGTGCCGGTGCGGCTATCGTACTGGTTTTGCATCTGGTCCATGTAGGCGCCCTGCTGGTCGGGATTGAAGGCGTAGTCGGTCGAAACCATAGTACCTGATCGAGTGTGCGATTCGTTGGGGTTGCCCAAAAAGAGAGAATCATGCTGCTTCATAGTCGGCCGGTGCTCCGCGAGGGGGCCACCAGGTCTGAGGAGGCCCGCGGGGTTCATCTGGGGCGAGCCATAGCCGTCGCCGGGCGAGGTATATCCAGGAGAGGCGTACCCCGCGGATCCATGGCCTCCGTATGGTGATTGCGGTCGTCCAGAGGTTGGGGACGTCGGGCTCGTAGGATCGGAATCTCTACCGCCGAGGGCGGCGAGAGCGGCTGCTCGGTGACCATCGCTCGAGGGATGGATTGAACTGTCTGGTGAGTGTATACCCAGCCCGCCTCTGGTCTCGGGGGCGGCGGGAAATCCGGCTGAGCCTGGGCCCATGTACTGAGAGAGGAGCTGCGTTCGTCGCTTCTGGTATCTGTGAGGGAAGAGGGGTTCGTTAGCCGCTGTCGCGCCGGCGTGGGGATTTGGAGAGAGGACAAAAGGAGGGGAAATGCCCACCCTTTCTCTGTGATGTCGCCTTCCTACAAGCACAAAAGCGCGTCAGTCAATGCGAGCAAGTCAAGGTTTTGGCAGCGGCTGCGGGTGCTCGGGCACGATGCGCGCGCGCGAGGGCTGTCGAGGTGGTTCGGGGCGGGCTCGCCGCATGGCGCCACAGAGTCGCAAACGTACCTCCAACTCCTTCTCCAGCTCATCGAGCTTGTTTTGCAAGTCGGGGCTTAATTGTGCCATGTTGGAGGATTTCTTGGTTCGACGACTGCAACGGTAACGATGGGAAGGAATGCGAAGAGGGTCTGGAAGTGGCCGAGACCCCCGGGTAAGGTAATGGGCGTTGTGGGGAGAGGTGGGAGTCGTCCAGAGTTAAGGATTAAGGTGAGGTAAAGGAGGGACGATCGCAAGTCAGGGCACCAGAGCTGTCGATATTGTGGTCGCCCCGATGGCTGGTCGATGTCCCTGACTCTGACTCCGTTTCCCGACTGGCGGCTGCTCTCCTCTGTGCAGAGAGTGGGAAGAGCAAGTCAGGTCCAGCAGAGAGTCCTGCTGGTGCGGATTGCGGATTGCGGGTTGCGTGCGGGTGCAGGTGCAGGCAGTTCCTCATTCTCCTCCACCCAGGCAGTTCGTTCAGTCTCGTGACGTAGGTCGGGCCAGGAAGAGCACCAGGAGCAGCGGCTGCTTTACTGGGTTTGGCCCAAAATGAGGGTGGTGGGCGACTAAGGCGACCTATGAACCTGCCGGGTGCCAGTCCAGAGTCCAGGCCACTTCTCAGCAGTACGTACAGGGCGAGTTCAGGGTTCGAGGCGGGAACACGGGGAGTTGGGTGGTGCGGCACCCGGCCTCAACTGACAAAGATTGGTGGTGGTTGGCTGGATAGCGCAGCGATACGAGTGCGAAAACGTTGCGGTTGTCATACCCTGGAGACATGCAGGAGAGAACGGACAGCTTGTCGGCCAAGGAGAGCGCATGTTCTGTAGCAAATGGTGGAATCTGTATGCGCCGCGACGGGGCATCTCAAATAGTGCTCGATGGGGACATTCACTACGCAGTCCACACTCAGCATCAATGAGGGGCAATTCTGGCAAGTTCATCCTGTTCACCCAGGCCGACAGCCGGTGTCAAGCTGATGATTAGCGTCGAGATCCCGGATTGCAAAGCCCAGCAGACTTTCAGGTACCCGCGAGGCAACAACTCGCAGGGTTTGGGGGTTCGGCTCTGAGGGTGAGGGGAGAAACATCAGTGCATGAGGCTTCATGTCACCGGCGGAAACACCTCGAAATGCGGCACTCGATGATAGCGTCATAGGGACAAGCATCGTTGAGGATCAAATCCGGGATGCGGTCGATGCCAGCAGCCCGAAATCAAGAATCGACCCAGAATAGTAGACGGCCGGTCGGAGGACGTCCCAAACGGGGCAGCCAAGTCACTGGATGACTGAAGGAGGTGACTGCCGGCCTTGGTCCAGCCAACGGCCCAACGCCTTCCATCGGATGCTTCCCTGTTGCGAGGTGCCCATCGATCTCACGCCCCTGGACCTGCCTGAACAAACCAGAAACCATCGCCAATTATGTCAATACTGATGCCCAGCTACTGCAGGCCTAGTAAGTTATTTTTGTTCGCCTGCATCCGGGGACCGCACTTCATCTGAGTCCAATCCCGAGATGAAATCCGACAACGGGCACGTCGTTCATCGTCTGTTTCCCAGCACTGATGAGTGTCTTTTCTTGCCTGCTGGAGAAGGAATCTGCAGATCCATCCCATCTCACGCCGCTCTGCGTTATTGGCTCGTCTAAATGCCCCGATCAGGCCTGGCCCTTTGAACGGCTTAGTGTCGACAAGGATTCATCGACCTTCAAGCGCACGAGCCAACTGCAACGACGGCGGGGCTCTTCGTCGCCAACCTTTTTCTACGACTTACCTAAGTCATATTAAAAAGTTTTCCTCACTACGCGTTTGCTATTTCACTTTCTCAAGCCACGTCGTAGCACTCCGTCGCGAGCATCGTTGGCAGATGGGACTCTTATTCGAGTCGCTACTCTCATCGATGGAGCTTTGCGAACGTGTCAGCTGCCCTCCAGTGGGATGAAAGACGCGATTAGACGCCAGACAAGGAGCTGCCTCCACGCGATCTTTGACTTACCGCCCGGCGCGCCATGAGAACCCATCTCAATGAATATTTGCGCGCCTCGGCTTCGAAGATGATTGTTGGTCGAGAAAGGGTCGAGGCTCCCATCGAGTGGTGTTGGGCCTCAATCCTATCGACTCTGGCTGCAAACAAACCTCCCCGATATCTCAGTCGCATAACTAACAGGTAAGCCGATTTTCCTCGCAGTCTTCCTCCCCAACCCTCTCAGATGATGAGACAATGCAAAAACACAGACCTGTTCGGAATTCCTTGTGTCGAAAAACTTGCTTTGAGCTCCTGATCCTACCTCTTATATCCGCTTCATTCGCAACGCGCAGCTCTTCAGCCACTAACGAATGAAACAGATACCTCAAGAACTCAAGACAATGGAGCCAACACTCGCTCGAGTCCTCTTATCCCTATGTCCTCAAGTCACCCAACTGTCTTGTGCTTGATCAATGTTCCTTTGGCCCCGGCTCATCAAGGCCATTGTCCACTCACAGACACATCTTGTCTCCTCACAGCCGCCTGCTGTTCTGCAGCACTACTTTGTTCATACCATCTATTATAGCAAAATGAAATCTTTATTCACGGAGTTGGCCAAAGAGACAATGCTCTTTCTTCACTCTTGACAGTATTGGGGATGACCCAGACGACGAATCATGCCCCAGAACATTTAAACTTGATCGCCCGCAGCTCTTGACCACACACTTCCTGATTCAGACACACCGCAGCATTTCCAGCATTCATTCGATTCTCATCAACCAATTCTAATACCATTTTTCGAAACCGAAGAAAAGACTCGGAGAGCAGTCGGACAGAGACGAAAGCAGCAGACGAGGAACGTTGCAGTTGAGATCAGGATGGAGAACATGGACTTCGAATGCTTCGATTCCACCTTCGACATGCCGCGCACATCGTTCGATGACTTCTCCGACCCGAATCTCTTCTTCGACTTCGACGCCTGCGCCGGGCCGGCCCCGGACGCGTCTTCAGGTAGCCCGTTGCCCTCTACACAACCAACGGGCGCGACCCCTCCACCAACAGAAACGAACCCCCTAGAGGAGGATTTCACATCAATCTTCAGAGACATCGACCTTGGTGATTACGTCGAGCCGACGATCCAACCATCCGACCTCTTCATCCAGCGGCCCGAGGGCGTACAACCTCCCTCCACGCTCGTGCTACCCTCGGCACCCTCCAACGAGGACAAAGATGCCTGTTCCGAGGATATCTTCTCCTCCCTCTTGGCCGACCTCTCAGCCCCGACTGAGCCTCACCAAGGTACCGATGCCTCCCTCTTCTCCTTCCCTTCAACATGGGCCACAAACGATATCGACATGACGTCTTTCACCTGGCCCACTGCCCCAAACCTCGACCTTGACTTGTTCACTTCACCCGAAGTCTCCCTCCCCGAGACAAAGACATCCACCGCCCTGACCACCATCGATTCTTTCTTCTCAGACCTCTCTACCGTCTCGACCGGTGAAATCCCATTCACATTCGACGAAGAGGCGGTATCCCTCCTTTCCACTCTTCCGCCAGCCGTCTCCCTAACCTCACCGCAGTCCATTTACCCCCCGCCATTCCCTTCGACTACACTCTCGACAGCAACGACAACACTCCAGCACCCGCAGCCAATCGCCACAGCATCTACTACCTTCATCAAATCCGAGCGCTGCAGCGTAGAACCGTCTCATAGCTTCGCACCCTCAAGCATAGTCGATTTCCAGGGCCAACTCCTCGCCACCCCAGTCCCCTCAATAACCGCCTCCCCCGCGCCCTCCGCCCGCGACACAACTCCGCCAGTCGTCAACGGCAAGGTAATCAAACGCATCCCCCGTCCCGCGAAAGCAAAAGACATCGACGCCTCAGACTGGTACGCCGTGCCCCCCGCGACGCCGGACTGGGGCGGCCCTTCTCCCGCGACCAAGCCCCTCTTCCAGTACAGACCAACCGGCGAATGGAAACCCGAATGCCGCTTCTCGCGTGACGAGCTCCTGCACTACATGACGGAGCGTAAGCGCCTCTCCCTCCCGCTCACCATCTGGATACAGAACCATCCGCACGGCTGCACCAGCCGCGTCCCGGACCCGAGGACCCTCAAATGCCGCTGGAACGGCTGCCCCGTGCCGACGGGCACCATCCTGAAGGGCTTCTGGAGGGTCTGCTTCGACGAGCGGCCAGAGTCTTCCGGTAAGGAGTACAACCCGTTCTTCAACGCCGGGTACATGCATCTGTACTGTATGGACCGGTGCTTCGACCTCTTTGAGATCTCGGAAGCGTTTGACATGCGCCCGGACGCGAGACACTTTGAGAAGGAAGAGAAGAACCCGATGGCCATGAACCGGGACGGCGATGAGATGGTCATGGAGTACGAGAACTGGCGCGAGGCGCAGAAGCAGGGCTACGAGGAGTGGAGGGCACTCTGCGAGACGAACAAGGTTTTCGGCCTGCCTACGGAGAACCGCGTCGTTGAAAAGCAGCAGAAGCTATGGTACACCCTGACTACGAAACATCTCGCCCTGGAGACCAGTGTCCGGCAGCAGATGCGGGATTCCCGCGGCGGCATCTCCATCGATCAGCACAGGGGCGACCTAGGCTGGTACGTCAAAAAGGTGAACGAGAGGAAGAAACGGGCAAAGTCGCAGAGGGACGCCGGGTCAAGAGCGCTTGCTCGCTTGGCCGATTGCGAGGAGATCTTCAGCGAGGATGAGGAAGCTCCCCAGAGCGCGGTGGACGATACCAAGGCCACTAAGAAGACACCGCGCCGCAAGGCTGAGGATGACGGGCGCAACGCTGAGCTGGCCGAAACAAACGGCAATAAGCGCCAACGCTGCCTGGTGGACGAGTGTGAGTTGGACGACAGCCATAAACGCCAGCGCCGTCAGTGCAGATCAATCTCATGATCCGTCCTTCGGTTCTCGGCACTGGACTGGGCACGTCCCACGCAGCCTTGGTCTGTTGGCTGGCCCTGAAACCATTCTGCAGATGGAGACCTCGGTGTCTTTGTGCGCCATTCTGTATATAGTTTACTCATCATCTCATTCGTCGCGAGCTAGGACCTCGAGCAATTTGCCAGCGTATCTTTGTTTACTTAGACTTAATCTTGTCCACTTGACAAGGGTGTATGGGATGACGGAAAATATTTCGGAGCACAAAGGCCGGTAGCCAACGGGCCAGGTAGACAAAAGTAGACAGACACATATATCAAAAAGGAGCGCATACATGCTTTCCCCGTTGTTGCGGCTGTGAGACCTGACTCACCATCCAGGCTCAAGCCAAGGGTTTGCCAAGTATTGATGTTGTTGGACCGGGGCAGCCGCAAACGCCCTGTCAGACAACGGTCCCAAACGGTCGGGCATGAGAGGGCGGCGCAGAGCACACGCTCACGCTAATGGCCACGATTTGATCGTGAAAAGAGGGTTCGCAGAGATTGGGAAAGCTTGGACAGCCGCCCGCAGGGCTTGCACGGCGGCGGCCGGGGAGGGGAAGGGGGAACCGGAGGAGAATTTGGGTGAAGGCGGCTGTGGCACCCTTGATAGCGGGGCTTTCCACATAAGAAAGTTTCCATAAGGGACAGCCTCATGGCACGCTAGAGGCGCCAATAGATGCAGCGACATGGATTAGGTGAGCATCGTGATGGACTTTCGTCCGCATTATGGCATGGTTTGTGAGCAGACAGAATTCAGCATAGCGCAAGCAATGTCGGAGCAACGGAGGTTGAAAGCGGGTTGTAGATGTGGACAAATGAGTCGCAGGTTTGGCTGGTGGGAATCGCTGGCACACAACTGCAGCGGCGAGGCCGAAGGCGGGTGAGGCGCTAGTGCAGAATAGATGCAAAGCTGCGTAACGACGACTGAAGTCTCCTCGCTGAAGACGGCGTGTCCATGGCGCTTGTATCGACACAGCAAGTGATCCGCCCAATCGATTCCGCCGTCGTTGTCGACCGTTCTTGTGTGCCCGTCGGATGCAGGGCTGAACTGGTAAGACCGGAACGTCAGCGAACAGGGCGCACAGCGGCGGCGGCGTCGGCGTCGGCGCGGGACGCAAGAGACGAAACATAACGAGGGCAGGTGCAGGTGGTGGTGCAGATGATGGCGCAAGGCAAACAATGTAATCGTGGGTTAGTCAGAGAATTGGCAGGACGGGATAGCCACGCACTAAGAGGCGTTTTCGCGTGGAAGTCGAGGTACTGTACATACAAATATAAGACCGTGGTCCTTGTCGGCCTGTCGTCATTGTCTTCTGTCGTTTGTCATGAAGGAGGTGGACATGGTTGTTCTCGAAAGGCCGATGAGGCAATTTTGACTCGACTTCTGGCACGAGAAACTCTGGCCTGACTTGGAGACTTTGTTTCTGTTGTTCTATTTTCCTTCTCTGACTTGGCGGTTCGCTGTAGACTCAAAGTCTGTTACGCTCGCAGAGGGCCATCGCATTGATAACCGGATACGCAGAGGCAACATCGCGCGCTGCGAAGAGGGCGCCAGGGTTCCGAGGAAAGGGTGACGCTGCCTCGTGGAGGTGATTTGCTTCGTCCCAAGGTTGGGATTGATTGCTCGGCTTCGAAGCCCGGTCTCCCCCGCGAGCCATTGGCGATCGGACATCAGACGGCACAGAGCTGGAACACTGGGTTGAAGCTTAGCCTGGGGTGTAACCGGGTGATCTTCGTCGCTTCTGGGATTGTGCTTTTCTGGGTTGAGCAAGACGAGGCGATACATTGCGAGCAGAGACCAGAGTGAGGACGAAAGGCAAGCAGGCTTTGGGGCAACTGGCTTGCAATTGAGTTCGAGATCGAGGAAGAGACGAAGACGGGAGCCGAGACTGAAGCGAGAATTGGCGCGAGAAAGGCCAATGACGGGCAGCATCACGTGGTGCAGAGTTCAACCTTGGTTAAGGTGAAATACCAGAATTGGAAGGCAGCCAGTCCAACAACGTCCAAAAGAGCAGGGAGGACGGAGGTCACGACGGCAGGCAAGCGCAAAGAGGATGAGGGACAGCTTCCGATCCGACAGCTTCGGGAGACGGCAGCCGGAACTCTCAGTGGTTCTTGCCTTTTTCGATGAGGTGGTTCATTGCCCAGGACCCTGACAGCAGGAAGAAAGCTACCACGACACGCAATTGGCAAGAGTAGTAACTTGGAGCTACCTTTTGCGCGTGGGCAATAGCCGGCAGGACTGAAGTCGCGATACAACGGCAACAACATCACTGCGGCCAACAACCACCACCACCACCACCACCACCACCTACCCTGCCTACTGAGTACCTGCCCTGACTGACTAAACAACCAACCGATCAACCAACCACAACACGCACCTGCACTTCATCACGGCACCACTTGCCGCATCGCATCTTCAGCCTGGATCTCAGATTCACCACACACGCCTTGGGGGAGCATCTGGGGAGCTGAGCACGAGCCAGCTGAGCACCTACCACACTGCAGCAGCAGGGCACCCACTAGGAGCAATCTGCAGCCGGATGCTGCATCTCACCCACCTCAAGCTGCAGAACACTTGACATTGACTGTCAGGATCCGCCCCTTCCAGCAGGTATCTTCCCACCTAATTTTGCTAGAGGAAATACATTGCATAGCCATTCCTCCAAGCAGCACCTCAGCAGCAGCTGCTGCTAGCACCGACACACACACCTCTCACCTCCTGTGCTGCACTCGCACCTGCATTGCTGCAGCTAGTAGCTAGCAACCAGAGTACAGAAAGAGAGCACAAACATTTCTGGCGACGCCCGCTCCATTGTCACTGCATCCGACCGAGGTGTGTGCTTCTCTCTGCTTTACCTTTTGGTCCTTCTTTGGCCGTTGCCTCTGCCCTTTGTTCCCTGCTACTTCTTTCTCGTTTTCTCTTACAACCTTTTGCTGAGGTCAACGCCCGACGCCCCGAACAAAGCCATTGACAAAAAACCAGCTCATCGGACTTAAACACACCATCATCCGCACCCCCAACCTACCCGACCTTAATACCTTACACCCAAGAGGCCGGAATCCACAATCAATTAATCCTCTGCAGCGCTCCCGTATCCGCACCGCACCGCACCTTATCTACCTTACCTGCGTTACGTTACCCAAGCAGCACTACGCGCAACCGACGACCGCGGAGGGGCGCTTGCCGCCAAATCCACTCGCTGCGTGCGTGGTGCACGACGTCGTCGGCCGGCGCATCGGGGAAGCCGTCCATACCGTCTCCATTCCCCCCCATTCCCCAATCCCCATTTCCTCCCAGGGACCTGGGACCACCGAGCTGTGTGGAGGCCGTCGCCGTCGCCAATCGCCGACAGCCAGCAAGAGGGACATTTGAGGGAAAGGAAGAAAAAAAAGGATCAAAAGGGAAAGAGGGCGACGTAGGCGCAAACATCAGACCCGATCTACCTTAACCTGACCTGACCTGCGCCCCAGCCCTGTTTCGATTCGCTGCTTCGAAACGGTGTCCTTCTCTTCTAGCCTCCTCATATTTTTCGCAGGCTGATGTCCTCGGGGGAACAAGCCCACCCCGAAGGCTACTACGACTCTTCTGGAAAAGGCTGTCTTACCTTTTGACTTCCTCGCCTCGCCTCAACCTCGTCGTGCCTTACACTTGGATAGCTCCCTTCAGTTGCCGACCAACCATCACTCACCGACAACAACCATCACGGTTCACCTCAAAATCTTTCATCGTCCGCTCTCCATCCCTTCAGACTGTTCATCCTGGACCTGCCAGTCCTTGCGACGACCACTCACACTTCCGCCAAAGTTGCGCCGGCCTCCGCGATACAGCAACCCAACACGCGCGCATCTGTACGTCGCATCCTGCGCCAAGTTCATTTGCCGTGCCGTACCGTCCCTCCTCCTGTCACGTCCACGCGCCCCATTACCTCATCGCGGCAATTCTGTATTGGCGGGTGGTGGCTTTCGAAGCGGCATTGGCTGCGCTGTCACCACTGGCAGAAATCTTAATCCTCTCACACGCATCTCATAACGTGAATCTGCATTGCGCCTCGGGCTGAGAAGACCCCATCATGGCAGACACGAACGGAGAGCCGGAAAAGGCTCGTCGGCCATCTCTTCAGGTCATTGTTCTGGTACGTCCATCTCATCTTTGTCGCCTTTTTTCGTCTTCTGTTGCTGCTGCTTATTGTCGTCACTCGTCATCATCCGCCGTCCTCCGCACCCCGAAACTGCTGCCCGTCACGTTGTCTGCCTCCTGTTCGGCCCACCGGCGCAATTACTTTCTTCGCTGGCTACACTCGACCGCCATTTCTCGTTGATGGGAGTCGTTATTAGTCGCAATGGACAGCCGCGCAGTCATCCCGACCCAACCGGGCGGCGCATACTCTGCCGTTCATGCAGTCGTCTTTATCGGGACCCAATCGTACCGAATAGGCAACTCATTCTGCAGCCGCGAGCCAACCTGAATCTGCAAGTGCACATCGGGTACCACGCATATCAGCAAACCTCAAGAAATACCTCAAAGATACTATGAATCTTGAGATCGATATAATGAGGCGCTGACCAATAGACTGCGACCTGTCGCACTTCACGGAATCCCTTCGCTGATATGCATCTACGTCGTCGCACCCCACTAACCTGCTGCAGGGTGCTGGCGGTGGTCCCCAAGAAAACAATACGACCTCCCTGTTGGTTCGTTCAGTCGCTTCCGGGTGGACCAAAGGCTCTCTCATCTCTGTCGATGCCGGTGTTGGTCTCTCCGCCATCACCCGCATACTTGAGGAAACGACACCTCCGAGCCTTGGCAGGGAGGTTCCCCTTCCGTATATCCTTAAGGAAGGCCCATTTGCCGGGCTGGAGCTGACCGCGGGGATGCTCCCCCCGGATGCGCCGGTCCTATATCCGTCAATTATCGCGTCGTATATAACCAAATCTCTCATCGACACCTATCTCATCACACATCCTCATCTGGACCACTTCGCCGGACTTGTCATCAATACTGCTGGACTTACCCGCCCAAAACGCGTGGCTGCCCTGCCCTATGCTGTTGACGCCCTCAAGAGTCATATTTTCAATAACATCATCTGGCCTAACCTGTCAGACGAGAACAACGGCGCAGGTCTCGTAAATTTCACTCGGCTTGTCGAAGGCGGCTCACCGGCGATTGGCGAAGGCGAAGCCAAAGGCTACCTCGAGGTCGCCGACCGCATTGCGGTGAAGGCTCACGCCATCTCACACGGCCACTGTGTCGAACGCCACCCTCACCGCGGCTCAACGTCCTCGACTGCGACGCCACTACGTTACGGTTCTGTTGACGCCGCCTCCGTTGCATCGCCACGCATCCTTCCCTACAACATCGCCAGTACAGCGCGCAACCACTCCATTGCGCCGGAACCTCAAGCAAGCATCTGCGTCGTCGATTCCTCAGCCTACTTCATACTCGATCTCGCCACGAACCATCAGATCCTCATCTTCGGTGACGTTGAACCAGATTCGCTCTCGTTGTCCCCACGAAATCATTTCGTATGGCAGGAAGCCGCCCCCAGAATCGTATCAGGTCAACTCGGCGCGATCTTCATCGAATGCTCCTACGACGATTCGCAGTCTGTGGACCGCCTCTTCGGCCACCTGAAACCCAGCTTTCTGATCGAAGAACTGGGCAATCTAGCTCAGGAAGTTGAAAATGTCCGGGACATACCTCATCCATCACGCAAACGCAAACGGGTGGCCGATGCAGACACCATTCCTCGCCGTAGGACAGGCGGGGCGTTCGGCCGTCTGGCTAGCGGCGACGAGTCCCCTATCAGCCCGAAATCGGTAGCAAGACGCGCTGTGTCCGCAGACATATCCCACGTGCCGCCACTTCCGCCCGCTGCGACATCTGTGGAGAGCTCCCATCTTACTACGCCCACCCAAGAGCTGTCGCTGAGAGAGGCGGAGCTCGGCGTCAGCGAGTCTGAAGACGGACATCAGACGGGCCTTCCCCTGAAAGGCCTCAAAATCGTAATTATTCACGTCAAAGAGCGTTTCGACGGACGCAACACAAGCGAAGTAATCCTGAAAGAGCTGCGGGCCCACGAAGAGGTGGCCCAACTGGGCTGCGAGTTCATCGTCTCAAAGCAAGGGCAGAGTATCTACCTGTAAAGCCAGCGTTTGTAATGACTTGGGCCCGAAGGAAGGGAGGGAGTATGACTTGCATGAAAAACGGTCAGATACCAGGTTATGCCTTTCTGGAGTTTGGTCTTGGGGTTGACGGCATGGGTATATACCGCGTCCTTGTATTTCCATTTCTGCATTCTATATATCCGCCGGACGCCTCCACGGGCCGCCGCATGAGTTGCTGTGTCATGACTCTAGTTGCCCCGTCTATATGTTCTCTCATGTGTCGTCATTACATCTCAGATAGTCTATTGTCCGTTCTTGATCTTCTCGTAACCCTCCTCGCCGCCAATGTTCTTGTCCCAGTCCGCGCGGGGAATCTCAAGGACCTCGGTAGTACGGCCGTACGTGATGCCGCCAAGTCTGCTTACCGGGCGGAGAACCTATCAGACATCAGCATCAGCATCCCTATTAGTGATGAACGACTACAATAACTCACCGTAGGATCAATGATATTCCTCTGCTCGTTGATGGCATCCTCCCTGACCCAAAAGTTCTTCCCCTCAATGATACACACGACGCCGCTCTTCTTCCCCGGCGTGGCCCTTGAGTCGTACTCCTTGAACGAGTCCAGCACGCCCTCGATGCTGAAGATGGCCTCCTTTACGCGCGCGGCCTTGACGTGCTTGCAGTCGGACACGGGGGTCAGGCCGCTGACGTCCCACTCGCTCTTGCCGTAGGGCGCGTTGACGCTCGTGGCGTTGGCGGCCTCGAGGAAGCCCTCGGAGATGATGTTGATGACGCACTCCTTGCTCTCGAGCAGGCACTTGAGCGAGTCCTTGGGCTTGTCGACGGAGGCGGCGAAGCCGACGACGAAGAGGGGCGGGTCGTGGTTGACCATGTTGAAGTAGCTGAAGGGGGCGAGGTTGGTGACGGAGCCGTCGGCGGAGCGGGTGGAGAGGAAGGCGATGGGGCGCGGGACGACGCCCGAGATGAGGAGCTTGTAGTTGAAGCCCGCGGGGCGGCCCTCCTCGTGCGGGTCGATGGAGACGTGCGCGGCGGCGGACTGGCCGAGGGCGTTGGCGCCGGAGCCGTATTTCCAGTCCGGGTCGATGGTCTTTGTGAAGCGGACGTTGAGGGAGGGGTCGAAGGGGGGCCGTGTCGCCTCGACGGACTTGAAGTCCGGGTGGGGGTTGTGCGTGGCAGAGGAGCCGCCTTCGAATTTTGTGTTTTGCTGGGCCATTTTGGAGAATGCGCGGCGGCTGCGGAGAACGAGGGACGGCGATGGGCGGGAGAAGGGTATCGTGGGGAGACGGAGTAGGAGAGGGCGGGCGTTGGGCAACATAGCTTTATTTGCGTGGGAGGTTATGTGGGTTATATATCGCGGGTCACGAAACGGGGAGCGGGCGCGAGTCAATTCTGCGATTGCGGGATGCGTTGGAGGAACCCACTTTCTCTCGAGGACGATTGGAAACACAACACGGAAAGGCAGTCAGTTCTCAGTTGGTGTCCCTTACTGATGCTTACCCATTACCGATAGCTGCCGGCCTAGCTTCTCGGATGGTGGAGTCGACGCCGAGGGGGGCTAGATGTGGAGGGGCATGGAGGGGTTGAAGAGGTGGTGGCAGGGTTCGAGGAGGGGCCCTTGTCCATGATGCAGTTGACTTGGCGGGCCGGATTTGGGGTTGGTTTAGGGTCCTTTCTGGTGCGAAATCTGCTGTCTGGGGGATTTGAGATGCGTTCCGGCTTGCGAGAAGCTATTGCCGTTGACAAATTGGCCATTGGTAATTCGTTCCGTGAGCTGGGATTCAACCCGGGCTGAGGCTCGGGGGATGGAAATCGGAACTCGGAAGACAAGTGACAGGTCGGGGGCTAGGACAGGAACCTCCACATGGACTTCAATGTGGAGATGCCTGGACGCCGGGTGGGGGATCATGGATGGCGGGATGTGATGGCGGGATGGCTCGATAAGATAAGGTTGCCTCGACCTGATAGATGCATTGCTTCGGGAGCGGCCTACGGCACTGCAATAGGCCCAGACAGGCGACTAAAAGATCGACGGAACATCTGAGGATCGGTATCTGAGAAGACGCCTCCGTCGCTGCTGTGTTTTGGTTGATGGCAAATTGACTTCACCACCACACCACAAAGAATTCTGAGCGCGTGATTCTGAGTTCGAGATGCAGAACATGGCCAGTTATCAAGCGCGACGGGTGTCTCTTGTTCGCATGCCCGCGTTGTTGGGGTTGGGCTGCAGCGGCGAGATGAATGTCTCAACAGCGGCCGCGGGCGGGGAGGGGGGGCCACATCTGGTGGTTAGCGAGAGTCGTGGGCTGTTTTCTTAAAGAGCATCGAACCAGTTGAGATGGTGCGTTGAGAGACGGGCAGAGACAACAACGTTCCCCGAGTGGCCATGCATCGTTATCGAGGTTACACGGTTATCAACAGAGAGGAAACCGCCCGTGGGGGGGAGAGGCACGGAACCTGAGACGGCATTCTTTCGATTCCCCATTCGGCTCAGACTCGGTACGCCCTCAGCTTCGCAAACACGTTCCACCCCCGCCATTCCCGTCGTGCCATCGACACGGTGCATGGCCTGATGGGACCGTGGGCTCGGCCCGTTATTGGCCTTGTTTCTCCATGCAGGTGCTTTGCAAATGTGAATGGAATGCCGCCGAGTGGCCGCTTGCCAGGAACGGTCGGGTATCGATTTTCGAGGGAGAGATGGTGAGGTTGCAGATATGCCGTCTCAACAGATCCAGACTCGAGTATAAGTAGTCTGGTCTCGACGCTTTGAATCCTCAGTCGATTCAAACTCAAGAGAACTTCCACTTGAAAGCACACCCGTTGCAACTATCCGCACTCCCAAGTTTCAACAGCGCCGAAAATCATCATGAGCGCCATCCGATCATCCTCATCAGCTCTCCTCCTTCTCGGCGGTGTAGCAACACTCCCCGGGGCTGCCTCCGTCCGCAGTCACTTCCCACAACGCATATCGGCATCAGCTCCGCTCGACGCGGAGCTGGGCTACCTGCAACAGCCCCTCGGCCCCGCAAGCAGCCGACCCACAGCCTCCGCGGCGCAAACCACCACCAAGCGCAGTGCCGCTCTGTCAACAACATCTCTGGGTTGGCAGGGTCAGGCGTTATGACTGCATCGCACAGCGGTGCAAGTCGTGACGATGGCAACGATCCCTTCGCGGCCCCGTGTGCATGATGAGTCCCAACCTCGTCTCATTTCTGCGCGGGAGATGGTTGCGGTCGTGCTGAGTCGGAATCAGCAATACACGTCCGGGGCGTCAAAGACTTGGTACACGATGCCGGCACATCGGGAAATGTGATGATGATTTGGCTTAGGAGACGGCGTCAACGGATATGAAATTGGTTTTGGTGGGGTAACGGGATATCCATGGTGCAGAAGTGATCTTGGGACCGAATATGGCGGTGGTGTTTGGCGCAGGTATCACTTCAGGGTTGAAAAGGGCGTTAGATGTCATGGTTCGAATATGACTTAAAAAAAGAATAGGCTTCTTTACCTCTATTTTCAGATCCCGACTTGGCTTGTTCAATTGCATCTATTCTACCTAGTGTTGGGTACATTCCTCATGTTGATGACTCAGCTCAACGCCTCCGATAAGCCCTTATCAGCGGCGTTGCAGGGATACCAATGGAAGGAATTTTTTGCGTCAACAGCAGCTGCGTCAGGCCGCCCGTTGTCGATTCACTCGCCGATGCCGTACAGCAAGAGTCACTCGCCGTTGCCGCGATAGTCAGAACTCGGTTCCACTACCCGTCGAGGTGTTTGTTTGGCTCTGGCATTGGACGTGCAGTTCTTTGGCCTTCTCCAATGTCTTGATATCCACCAGCGGGTTTTTCCTCAAGACCCTCCCCTCCCTTTGAGCCTCGCGCTCCACACTCTCTTTCTTTTCCCCTTCTCCATGCCTCTGGGACGTGGACGGACGAACGTAGGGCCAATTTTTCGTCGCCGCACGCCTCCCTCAGCACCTCGTCCGTTTTTTGCGAAGCCCCTCGGAGAGAAGCCACTCGCGAAACCGCCTTCAGCTCCTCGACCGAGCAATCGCGACGAAGCCCCACGACCTACCCCTCGACCTACCCCTCCTCCAGCAGCCAAAGTAGCATCTGCGCAACACCGCGCTATCAAGCCAAAAGCCAGCAAAAACACTACGACGCCGAGAAGAAGGTACGCGGGCACAATAAAACCCGAGCAAGCTTCATCATCGGGCGGAAGTAGGAAACGCCTCTGGGACTTGGAGCCCCGACCTCGACGACCGTCCGAACCTGATAACGTTGACGATTTTCTGTTGGAAAAGTTCGATTTCAAACGTGCTCCCAAAGAGCTCATTGCTTCGATCGAACGTTTGTGCTACAACACCGGGCGATTTCACCTGTCAAAGAAGGAGAGGGACGTCTACACAGGCAATCCAGACGATTTTGGTGGCAAGAGCGCCTACCTGATCCGCAGCGACTGGAATAGAGCGACACCGGGCCTTTGGTTTCTACGCTTCTTTCTGCTCACAGGGCCGCCGATACGAAAATCCCCTGTTCCCTGGCAACCAAACGAGCGTGCTGCAAACATGACGAACCACGTCCAAATTACTACGACCCCGACGGCGGACACGGGCGGCAGCTTGCTGTTGCACTTTGACCATCGGAGGTATCTCTTTGGACATCTGTCAGAGGGTACGCAAAGAGCGTTGGGTCAGCGCAAGGTCGCCCTGGCAAAGTTGGAAAACATGTTCATGTCTGGTCAAACGAAATGGGAATACACTGGTGGGATGATTGGTATGATGCTCACAGTCGCCGACGTCCTCGAGGGCAGTCGGAGGGAGATTGAGGCTCAGAACCAGGCCAGGAAGCAGTCCCAAAAGGCGTTGCTAGAGACGAAGGGCCCTGAGCGCATAGAGATTCATGGAGGCCGCAACCTTACCCACAGTCTCGCCACGGCAAGGTATTTCGTCTTCAGGAAGGGCATGCCCATCCATTCCGTTGAATGCCACGACGATCCAAGGATTGCCAATCCCGAAGCCACCACCCCTGACTGGGAGGATGATGCCATTCAGGTCTGGAAAGTCCCTGTTGTTGCTGGTGAGCCTCAGGCCAGGTCCCGTAAGAGGAGCCATGAGGTCATGGCTGCTGAGGATGAGCAAGTGGCGGCTGATCACACGGCCCAGCCCACGCTGACTCCACAAGAGCACGAAAGGCTCAATCGCGAAGGTGTCGCCGCTGTGGTGGAAGACATGTTCAACTCAGACTGGAGCAAGGACACTCTTTGTGAGACGAAGCTGCACAAGGTTTCCCTCCCCGCCACCATTTTCGTGAGAAAGAACGGGCAAATTGAGAGGTACAAGGGCCCTCTGCCTGGCGATAAGGGGCCCGTCCCCGACATCGATGTACTCGTGCGATTCCCCTGGCCCGCCACTAAAGTTGTACGTCTTCCAGACCCGAAGCTACCGTCCGATATGTCTGTTTGTTATATTGTCAAGAACAGAGGTCGTCGAGGAAAGTTCAATCCGCAACTCGCCAAGCAATACGGCATCAAGCCATTTGAGTTCAAGCATCTAGCAGCTGGAAAGACTGTGAAAGGTGCAGATGGTGTCGATGTGACACCTGACATGGTGTTGGGTGAGCGAATCAAGCCATGCGGGTTTGCGTTGGTTGATATCCCAAACTTGTCGGCAGTGGAATCTTTTCTTGCAAGGCCAGAATGGAAGAACTCTAGCCTGATGGAAGATGTGCCCATCTTCTACTGGCTTCTCGGTCCGACTGTCATTGACGATACCCGCATTCAAAACTTCATGAGGGAGAGGACCGATGTGAACCACATCGTCTTGGCCCCACAGACAAGCCCAAACATGGTGACTATAGAGTCTTGCGCCATTTTGTTGGCAAAGCTACGACGAATCGACCCAGACCGCTTTCCTCTCCTCAACTTTGACAACAGCGTTCGAGACCTGTCTTTCATCGGCCCGAATGTACAAGCAGGCCGCGTCGGTATGAAGACAATGCTCTCGCCGAGCTTCAGCATGAAAGACGACGAGATTCTTCCGTTCCCGACATTTGAAGAAGCCGGTACAATTCCGGAAGAAGTCCTGGCACTCGCGGATGAGGCAAAGGCCGCGATCAAAGAGCCCAAGTTCATTGCGGAGGTTGAGCAAGTTGAGAAGGACATCCCCAACAGAGACGCCGAAATTATACCCCTCGGTACTGGGTCCGCTCTGCCATCCAAGTATCGCAATGTTTCTTCGACACTCATTCGCGTGCCGCAATATGGCAACTACATTCTTGACGCTGGCGAAAACACAATGGGTCAGCTGCGACGAGCTTTCCTTGCTGACGAACTAGTCCAAATTCTTCGGGATCTTCGTTGCATATTCATTAGCCACATGCACGCAGACCACCATCTTGGCACAGCGAGCCTACTGCGTGCATGGTGCGATGCCACCGAACATCTCAGCCCTCAACCTAGGCTTGTTATCTACTGCCCCGTGAGTATGCGTCTGTTTCTACAGGAGTATGGTCGCATTGAAAATATCCAAACTGTCAACGGTCGTCGCATCGAGACTCGCAATGTTGTTTGGCCCAAGGACGACGCCAAACTACCCAAGGACGACTCAACGAGGCTCGCCTCTGCCGTCCTCGTCCCCGTCAAACACTGCCAAAACTCCTACGCTCCCGTCTTCAGCTTCCCCTCGGGCCTGAAGATCGCCTTCTCGGGCGACTGCCGACCCAGCGATTCGCTCGTCAAGGCCGGCAAGGGCGCCACCCTCCTGATCCACGAGAGCACCTTCGACGACAACAAGAAGGGCGACGCCATCGCCAAGAAGCACTCCACCATGTCCGAGGCCCTCGACGTTGCGTACCGCATGGGCGCCCGCCGCGTGCTTCTTACGCACTTCTCGCAGCGCTATGCGAAGGTCCCCATCACCGAGAAACGGGAGACCGCGGACGGCTCCGACCAGGCCGTCCTGCTCGCCTTTGACCAGATGCGCGTCAAACTGGGCGAGTTCCGTCAGGCTCAGAAGTTTTTGCCTGCGATCAGACTTTACTTTGAGTTGACTGGTGCGGATTAGATAGATGGCTAGATGTGGAAAATGAAAATAGAAGGCATCTCCAATCATATATTGTCGTCCACGATGCTAGGCCTGTGGCGTGAATTTGCATGAAGTCGAATATCAACAGCTAACTAACACAAAGCTATACGGCTCGTGGGGCAGAGACCTTACCGAGTAAGGCACGTCCGCATCCTTGACCTTTTCCATTATTTGCAAATGGGAAGATGTCGGGTATTGCAACAGTCTCAAGCTGTGCCCTATTCTATAGTGAGGGATATCGAAGTTCCCTAGGTGCTTAAGCAGCTTGCTAGTCTGTTCAGTGCCGAATGAGTGAGATGACCTCGCCCGCCGTTTGATTGCTTCTTTGAATGGTTGACTGAAGAAGGAATGGAAAAACTCAACAAGATCCGACGACGCATAAAAAGCAGCCGAGGCGACAACAAAGGCCGTGGAAAAGGCCGCGTGTGATACGTAGGTGATTGCAACGTTCACGTTCGAAAGTTCCCGGATTGGTCTGAAATAGAATCGGAATCTGAGTACCTCAGATCGGATTCGGTTTCCTTTCAGAACCAAAGCTGCCTCCAGAAGCCCCCAGGGAGTATCGTGCTTGACATGCTGTGTTAAACAAAGGCTGCCTCCTACCATCCCCGCTTGACTCGGCCCATCATGCACTCGGCCGGATGAGCTGTCAATGGTGAAAGTTCCCATCCAGGTCTCCAGGTAGTTGCGGTTCTCCGACTTGTGTGCGATTTCCGAGAGTGCATTTCCCCGCAATTTCTGCTTAGTCTTAGCCGCAAGATGGAACGACGAAGATGCGTGGCTTTGATGCAGGATTTGATCGACTATGTTGCTCACGAACGAGGCATTCGCAGCTGGGAGAATCAATCCGCCGAACGCAATTGCAACATCGACGGCCACATTCAATCCGCTTTTCATCAGCATAAGCGGCATCGTGACGTCTTGGTATACCGCATCTAATGACTGAACTTCTTAACTGGCGTGTTCGAGTAAGGTGATGGTTTCGAGGGAGTTTGATAATGAGCTTCTACGACTCAAAGGCAAAATCTTGTCCAACACGTTTTCGGAGGCTTCTGGTGGTAATTCTCCGAAAGCAAGTAGCTTTGGTAATGACGATTCCAGGGGATGTTGTGTCTGAGGCGCCGGCAGAGTACTCATGGGTTTCCGCTCAATGTATGACTTTTCCTGCGCGTCTGCTATCTTATCTAGCGTACCCTGCATTTTCTCCAGAGCGTATTCAATCTTTTGGGCCCGAATTTGACTCTCGTCGTATCTTGTTGATTGTTCTTGTCTCATGACAAGTTCATTTCGCCTTGAGAAGGTCCGTGAGTCGCCAGTATTCTGATCATAGCTTTCGAGTGTTTGGTTGACTTACCTGCCAGTTACTGAGAGCGCCGCGGTCATAGAGGAGGTAAGACGACCGATGCGCACGGAGGTTTGGTTGATATTGTCCGCCTCCCCAGCCCATCTGAGTCTCTTCACGATCAACTCGAATACGCTGTCCTGAGGGAGTTCCTGACAGTTTTCCAACACCTTGCAAAGGTACCTGAACTCGTGATCAAACAGTGCTAAGAGGCTTTGGATGGCGGGCAATTGTTGTCCTTCGTAGATCAAAGACGGACAAGACTGGAAGTCCTGAAGCCACATCTTGGTGTCGTGGATAATATTGGTGGAGGCGCGTATCTCAACCAGTAACCGAGTCTTCGTTGACGGTGCATTTTTGCATTTGCTGGACAATTCGCATAGCTTATGACCGACCTCTCTGGAAAACAAGATCAGCGGCACCGACTACCGCCAAGACGTTGGCGATGACAGAAAGTGAGTCGTTATCGGCCATGTAATGATGGAGTTTTGCGACTCAGATTGTGTGTGTATGATGGACAGATACACTGCTAGCAGCGCTGGATTGGGAGGAGCAGGCTTTATCAATCCAGAGTGGGTTGTAGGATGCGTTGCTGGTTGCTGGTCTGAGGGGCGCAGCACTCCGCCTCCGCGCCGGCTGAGTACACATGAGAGATATGAGAGGCCAGCAACCAGGTCATGTGGTTCTCAGGTATGAAAGATGCAGGTCTTTGGAGCAGGCTTTCTGGTGTAACGGTAGAGGCCTTCTGCCCAGCCAATCGCAGCGACTTTGATCAATTGGCAAGCTTTGTCTCAGTGAAATGATACGGAAGATTTGTGAGCAGGTCAAATTTTCTAAGTCGAGTTTATAGATGTTCATTAATTCTTTTTAGCATTCTGTTACATCAACTCAGAGAAACATTTACGCAGATCTTACAAAGAATGCTCTGCTTAATAGCCTGAGGCACTGGCCCAGGTAGTAATACTCTTACAAAATTATTCTTGAATTACTTTTGTTGCCGATGCTGCCCAGGGATCTACATCACAACACCAAATTAAAGGGAGTTGTGCACTGTAGATATCGCTGGGTTTGTATGGTGCTACTGCCTGCTAGTATCTTCTTCGTCTCACTACAGGTTCAGATCTCAGCTAGCTCTCGAAGTCCTACACAATTAAAACTATTTGAGAGCATGTGTGTGCTGCACATTATATCGAGGGGTGCGGGATACTGAAATTCATCCCAAGTCTTTCTAACATAGATACTTTCCTTCGGATACCTTAGATACACCGCAGAGCACGTAAGATTATCCGAGACAGGAATCGTAACCTGATCTTCGTCATTATCATGCTCAGACAGATCCTTGGCTTCACAACAGTTCAAGGTGATATCCTTTTTTGAGCCAGAAGGCACATTGTCTAGAAGCCCTCCACAGACTTTAGCTTGGTTGCTTCCATCTGGCGAATTCTCCGACTTTCTGATGGCCATGATCATGTTGTTCTTGTGTCGAGGGTTGCGTCGCCGGCCGCGATCAGCCCCACGGCCGAGTCCAGGCAGTCGCGGCGGAACGTGATGGTTTAGTTCAGCTCGATTGCACGTAAATGGCGTGATTGACATGGAATTCATCGCGGCTTGAATATTTCGAGTGGTCTCCGTCAACTTGATGACTTCTATCTTTGTGACGTGTAGTTCTTTTCGAACAACGAGGTCATTCTGCCTACGAAATTATGAGTAGGTTTTGTCAGATGGGACAAATATTCTAGCCATACCTTCCACTCACGGACAAGGCTGCAATCATTGAATTAGTTAAACGATGAAGCCTATTGCAGGATTGGGCGATGGTTTGTTCTTCGATGGCCCACCGGAAATTCTTTGTCAATTGATTAAACCAGCCACCGCGGAAAGTCGCTCGAGAATCATTTATCATGTTGCACAACAGGTCGAATTCTTGTCCAAAAAGAGTAAGAATTGTCTTGACATCCGGAAAAGAATGCCCATCTGTAGCAGTGAGGGTGGAATTTTGGTGATCGTCGAGGTATATACGGGCTTGAGCTATTGTCGATGTAGACGCTAATAGCTCTGCGAGGAGAAAGGCCTTGGCCGCCGGGGCGTTCCGGCATCGACTGTACAGATCGTAGAGCTCTTTTCCGTTTCTGAAGACGACATCTGCAAGGCCTATGACTCCTGCGATGTTGGCGGTCAAGGAAAGAGCGTTGCTGTCGCCCATACTCCTACTTTTGACGGGCGCAGGTGATATTTGAACGAAATGATGGGCGAGAATGATGGAAATGCCAGAAATGGAGGAAGCTGACGTTGGCTATTATGTGTGCAGTCATCCTGAGTGCCAGTGGCTGAGCAGCATCAGACTATTGCCAAGATAGTACATCGTTGGTCCGGAATTTGCAGGCAAGAAAGTGAGGCGAGAGCTTTCGTCCAATTGCCGCGACATTCCCCCACACTAGCTGGCCGCCTTGATCCGCAAAAACTCAGGAGATGCTGGAATGAGTTACTTTGGCAAGAATGCTCACAGAATGTCACGCTCACTGCATTCATGATTGACATTGAAGGCACGGTGAGGCACAGGCCCATCAATCGTCGCTGGCAAGTACTATGGTGCGATACAGCCAGCCCACTGCGCATTCTAGAGAACGAATGGAAATCATGGAACTTTGGCTACCGAGTTCTTAGACTTTCCTGTACAAAACTGGACTGAACCACGATGGAACGCCCGTTGATGTTCTCATCTGACCCTGAAGCGACGGACATACTCTTCCCAACACCGTCTCCCGCCGTTATCCTATTCGTGAGACCAATCTCGTCTCCCTCTTCGTCGAGCTTCACTCTGCCATCTCCGCCACTGCCAAAGTTGAACCTCGAACCTCCATATGTGAAAAGTGCACCGGCCCCCTTTTGCGAATTACCCCCTGTCCCACCTTTTCCTGATCTCCATGGTGCACTGGCCGATGATGGGCCGGACTGACCATTGCTCCGCTGACTAGACGATAGCTTATGACGGACGAGATGTCGGAGAGGTGCCAGGTGGGGGAGGCAAGCAGATACTATTGCAACTGACGGTTCGATTGCCGACCAGATGAACACGGGGCCCATCATCCAGGTAATGTCCGCGGATTTGGAGAACTTGTCTAGATACCAGATTCGAACAACACTGGCAACGCAAACACTATCGGACATGTCAGCTATTGAATTTTCACAAAAAAAAAAGAAAAAAAAAGAAAAAAAAGGGCTAGTCTCACAAGCTACCCAGAAGCATGATGCTGCATACGGCCAACTTTTTTCTCCCCGACATCTGCAGCTTCAGAATTTGTGGTATCGGAAGTAGTAGAACTATGATGTCGTTGATCATGTTGATGATACCAAGGGCGAGGTAAAATGTGTTCAGGTCGATGCATGTCCCTTGCGCTCCAATGAACTGGTCCCAGTAAAAGTGCAAGGGTTTGCAAGCGTTGCCCATGGTTCCCCAAATGACAATCGGATAGGCAATGGAGAGGAAATAGCCCGTGATCAACGACAATCTGAAGGAAGGCACTCTTGAGATGAAGACACGCTGGTAGAAAAGGAGGATGGACATCTTAGTCGCGGCGCAGGCGGTGCCATAAACAAAAGTGTAGGCGTACAGAATCTGACCACAAAAGACTCTTGTCAGAAACGAACACGTTATCATCGGAAGCGCCAACTTACCTGGAAGACTTTTGTAAGACCAGGGAGTGTGAAGGACCAGATATGGTTGCCGGCGCCAAAAGTACCGCCAGCGATGCTCAGGCCGACCGTCGCGCCGACAAGGAGCTGTCACGAAAAGGTCAGTCCAACATTCGGAGCCATCTCGTTTTGTAGGAACGTACCAAAGAACCAACGATAGCCCAGTCATCGGCCTTCAAATCATGCCCTTGAAGAAATCTGGACAGAATTCTCAAAGCCACAGCCGCGGAAGCGAGGACTGCGAGGACAATGACTGCAGCATTGTTTTGCGCGACGCTGCTCTCAGCGATGTCGATACCGTCCGGCGGCGGTCCAAATACAGCAACAATGTCTGCATTGGGTTCCATCATCGAGGTGAAGAGATCGAGAACCCGGTACGAAGCAACACCATGGTGAATGGGGGCGGAAAGACATATTTTACGCCGCACATATTTCCTCGACCACGACAAGAAATATTTTCGTCATGCAGAGCCGAGCAGCTTTGGCGGGAAATGGCTGCGGCAGAGTCTCTACGCGGAAGGAACGCCGGTTGCGGGAAAAGAAATTCTGGAAGCGAGTCTGAGCTGGAATTCGAAGATTGGGCTCGTGCTGGTCGTTGGTCGTCGTTATCCCAGACGTAGTCTCCACAAACTTGCAGACTGGTTGATGAAGACCCAGATGTTCAGTGGTTGTGGGATACATCTTCCGTGCACAGTCACATTCGGATCGGCTCCTCTCTTAGCATGAGAAAAAGATGTCGTTGGTCGTTGGTTCATATCGTATGATTCTCTTGTGGCCTGTTCCAAAAAGTGGGACCGTATATGCATGTGTAGTTTCTCCGTACAGGGAACGAATGCACAGACGAGGGGATGCTGTTGGTTCTCGTCTGGAGGCGGCTCGGGCTGCTAGGGTCCTAGGCATTTCATGACGACGATTCTGCGGTTGGCCCTGGTATCTGCAGCTCACTGTAGCCCTTGAAATGTGATGAGCATTCTTCACATGCATCCGGAAGAAATGGACGAACAAGTTGAGGAGGAGGTCCGATGCATTGTAGAGCTGAGGTTCTTGAACACTTCGACCTACTCCTTGCGGTGTTTGAATTCCTAGATCAATGGCATATGTTGAATAACAAAAGGCCACCTCTCAATTGTGACACATGTAGCAATGAAGAAATTAGGGAAACACAACGATACCTTTATCTCGATATTGTTACGTACATTGTGCTTGAGCCTAGCCGCTGTCATGTAAGGAACTCTTTAGCATACTAACGGGCTGCAGGGGCGGGGAAGTAATTCCTAGCGGGCCGACTTGGCTTGCATGGATCGTTAAGCGGTGGTCTGGGTGCAACTTCGTTGACAAGGATCTCCAACTTCTCCGGTCAATATTCGAAAGCAGTAGGTGATCTGACGATGTGTTGCAAGCAGCCGTTGGCAGTTTCAAAAGAGATTAGAAGCTCGACTCACCTGAAGGTGCAATGCAAAGAATAATGAAGATGTTCTGCATGCTCAACAGTATCCTGCCGGTCTTGCCCCGTTTGGAGTGGCGGGGATGAAATTCGGTCCACTTGTTGGTACGGGGGTGCAGGCATCTTCAATCCGTACCTGGCATCAACCATGGCGGCCGTTGGTTCATAGGACGAACATACAATGAAGTGATTAGAATGTACGTCTGAGGCGCAGCACAAATGCGTCGGAGGAAGTCAAGCCGACCCTCTTACAACTCAAGACGGCAAAACAGGCCCTTCAACATTCTGTGCTGTCATTAAATCAGTCTCACCCCTCTCTCTACCCCTCGACCGTTTTCACTGATTTCTGCAACGTGAATTATTTCTCGACAACCTATCATTACCATGGGCTCCTTATCAGGCTGGACAGAGATTCCTGATCTCACGCCTCTTGAGCGTATCGGTCCGAAAGGCTATCTTCGCTATGTCTTCCCGTTCCAACTTCCTGATGACTACGATCTCGAGGAAGCAGCTTCGGTACTCCGCGCAGGATACGAAGCCGCCCAGAGAAGAATTGCGGTCCTCGATTGCGAGGCTGTTCCAAACCCAGACGCCAAGCAAGCCGGTACTCTAAAGCTACAGAGGTTGCGCTCAGGCGAAGTAGAAGGCATCGCCGTCAAGGACTTGAGAACACCAGGGGCCTTCCCGATGACCTATTCGGAGCTCAAGTCTAAAGCCTTCCCTGTGTCTGCTTTCGATGCCAACACCATCATGCGCCGCTCCGTCTGGCCCTCTGCAGGGGAACGTCTTTCTGTCTCCCTTCCCCAAGCCAACTTCATTCCAGGGGGCATGATTCTCTCCTGGTGTATCTTCCATATGTTTGGCGATGGTAACACCTTTCTCACCTGGACTAAAGTCTGGGCGGAGGAGTGTCGGCGTGCCCAAGGCCTCGACATCACCGACCCCTTCAAGCTTGACGAGGCTCTGATTAGAGACCGTCAACGGATCATGAAGCCCTCTGGAAAGAACAAGGGCAATCTCGAGGACCACCCGGAATATACTATACTCCCGTTTACACCCCAGGGCATGCCACCTAACATGCTCTCCGAAGCCCACCGGGGGCAGGTCTTTTACTTCTCCCCTGAGTCTCTGGCCAGACTCAAGGCTGAAGCATCCCCTCAGAATGCGACAGAGCCAGCAAACCAGAAATGGATCTCCACCAATGATGCTCTTTCTGCCCTTCTTTGGCGCACGGTCATGGCTGTACAATCTCCACTTGAGACTCTCGAAGGCGACCCTGTCTCCGTCTATAACATTGCCATAGATGGCCGCCCGCGCACCGATCCACCGGTCCATCCTCACACTATGGGGTGCTTCCTGGGCTATGTTGCGGCCTCCGCTCCGATTCGGAAGATGCTCGGCTCAGCAAGCCTTGCTGACCTGGCAATATTGGTCCGCCAAGCGCTACTTCGAGCAAGTAGCCAGTTCGTCGACGATGTTGCGACGTTGATCGACACCGTGGAAGATGTCAACCGGGTCTTACCCACTGCTTTGCTCGATGTTCCGGGTAATAACTGTATCCAGAGCTCTTGGGTCAATTTCTCATTGTACGATGTTCAGTGGGGCCCATCTCTTGGTAACAGCATTCAAGCTGTTCGTTCTCCTCATGTTGGAGTTATCAACGGGTTGCAGGTTGTGCTGCCAATCTTGCCGGATGGTGGAATGGAGATTCTTGTTGGTGTTGAGGCCAACTGTTTGGATAGGTTGATGCATGAACCTCTGTGGATGAAGTTCGCTGAACCACGATGAGCTCAATCGCTGTTTGTATCTCAATTATCGGGCGTTTCTTGGAATAATACAGTTGTGTTATTTTATTGTACTGATTGCAAATCCATCCCCAAACATCCTGATGATTCAAAGCAGCCCGAGGAGAGGAGTGATGGTCCAATCTTTGCATCGATGTAAATTGATCAAGAGTCGCTTAAGCTGGGTCTTTTCTATCTGTCCAGTCAAGTCTGTCGAAGGCTTGAAGCCTAATCTGGCCTGCGTATTCTCTGAATCGCTTAGATACTTCTTGGCATCTCTCGCCTCAAAGGCCTAGAGCCCACATGGCTCGCGTTTCAGCTTCTTCTGGACAATGGAAATACTAGAGCGCGCTACACAAACAACCTTATTTCCCCAGCCTGACAAAGAACATCCTTAGCACAGTCAATCATTCATTCTGTGCGTTGCTGGCTATTCGTTTCGGCTTGGCGCTAATGCCAAATCCGGCCCTTCCCGCGTAACGAATCAAAGAAAACATTACCTGGGGAGCGGTTAGTCATAGTTGGAATTGAGCAGTGATACTGATCAGCGCATGATTCAACACGTGCCTCACAATGGGAGTGACACAGCCACACAAGTAACTGCCGTTAGTTATGGCCACTTACTACTCGAACGTCGAACCGAGAAAACCGGTTGTAACAAGGCAAGCCATGAGAGGGACGGTTTTAACGTTAGACTACCAGTACGAAGGAAGCCTGCCTAATGCGGCGAGTTTCGTCGATGATCAACTTCTCAGGGCGCTTTCCTAGGCACCAATGATGTTAGCTTCGAATAAATTGGCATCCAGGCTTCTGAGTGCCTGCCGCTTCGTTCAAACGTGGCTTTTTGGACGCTCAGCTGGAACAGAAGTTGGCCCTACGAGGTGGCCAATGCTGGTCCTTCGACTCTCATCGCGATCATCGTCTCATTGATAAGTATGAATGCCGCAGCCATCGACATCGCGGAGTGTTGTCCATCCAGCCTAGTCAGTCAACGCGTTCTGTCGCTTTTTCACTCATTTCCACTTCCAAGATGCCTTCTTTTTCAGTTTCAACTCTCGTATTTCTTCTTTCGGCGTCTGGTCACGCCGCATATATCGCCAAACGCGAGGTCAATGTTGGAGCAAATCTTCCAAATGGATGGACTTACAAGGGCTGCTACATCGACGGACCTAGCCGTCAACTGGCTCGAGCCAGCTACGCGGATCCTTCCATGACAGAAGAGTCTTGCGTCAATTTCTGTCAAGACCATGGCTTTCCTGTAGCTGGGGTTGAGTATTCTTCAGAGGTATGTGCTTTTCCGGGCATTTTACTCCGCCAGTGCCATACTTCCTTTAATATCTTGTTGTCTTCTCGCTGACTTCGTAATAATCACAGTGTTGGTGCGACTACAAGATCCCCGCCGAACGGAGGCCTGAGACGGACTGCAACATGGTCTGCAGCGGTGATTCGACAGAGTACTGCGGCGCGGGCAATAGGTTGACCATCTTTTCCAATGGAGGGACTAGTCCTGCTGTCAATCCTGGCCCTTCAGGCTGGACATCTCTCGGTTGCTACACGGATAGCAGCACCCGAACGCTCTCATACCGAGCGGGCGTATCAGGAGGCGGCTCTGCAATGTCCGTTCTGCAATGTACCACTGCATGCACAGCCGCTGGCTTCGCGTTTGCTGGAGTGGAATACGGTACAGAGTGTTGGTGCGATGATGCCATTCGAGGGGGAACCTCGAGTGCTCCAGAAGACGACTGCAACATGCTTTGCGGAGGTAACAATTCTGAACTCTGCGGCGGACCCAACCGTATCAATCTCTACAAGGGGGCAGTTGCTCCAAAGACACCAAGCGTTTTGCCCACAGGGTGGAAATCCCAAGGCTGCTTGAAAGACAACATTGGCGGCCGAAGCCTCGGTGTTTATGTCGGTGTGGAAGGTGGCAACACGAATGTAGCCAATTGCATTGTAGCATGCGCTGCAGCTGGCTACACCTTGGCTGGTGTTGAGTACGCGCAAGAATGCTGGTGTGATAACTCGATCAGGTTTGGTGGTGTCCCTACCACTGACGGCTGCAACATGCCCTGCAAGGGCAACACGGCGGAGATGTGCGGTGGCCCCGATCGACTCAATCTCTACTCGCTTGCGTCACTGGACCTGGGCTTCTCAACAACATCGTCTTCAGCCATTGTCATTCCATCCTCCAGTTCGACAACTTCTTTGCCAACCCTTTCCACCTCAATTACTTTTGTCATTGCGCTCTCCTCCTCCATTTCATCTATTGGCACCACTCTGGTGACTCCATCCACCACACTCATTCCCATCGTTTCTACGACGACAATCATACCCACATCTTCAACCACTTTGAGCGTTTCCACACCTAGCTCAACAGCTACCTCTCAAGTATCTGTGTCAACATCATCAACTGTAAGAACTCGTGATCCCAAACAATTCGAAGGGCAAAACGCTGAATGAAACAGGCTCCTGGCGGCTCAGCAGCGAGTGCTTGCACCAGAACATCTCGTAAGTCACCTCAATCACACTCTAATTATCTGGACACTCAACTGACTTACTCTTAGCTGACAGTATGTACCCCGTGGAATAATTGGATTAATCTCATATCTCACAAGTTGAAGTTACTGACACACAACTCAGGTGCTTACGTCAAGAACGCTGGTTTCGAGAGTGGCGTTGCCAACTGGGCCTTTAAGGTTACGTCCGGAGATGTTACGGCAGAAGTCATCACTGACAACCATCCAATGGGCGGATGTTCAGCTCTGTAAGAACCTGACGTTGGGATTGCCCATCCTGAGTAGAGCTAATTCTAGCCGCTTTTTAGCATGTTGACACCCCGTTCCTCTCCATCTGACGGCGTTCGCCGGGCTGTCCTCCGCCAGACACTTGCTGGTGTCAATATCACTGAACCAAGAGCATTTGCCGGCTTCTTTGGTCGACTAACTAAAGCCACGATTGATGATGGCGGTCCTCAAATTACCGTCAACTACGGAGGAGTGCGCATTCACCAGTGGGATGCTTGTGGATCTTCTCAGAACAAGTGCAACCTCAACGCTCCTGGTACATTGGGCTATTACAAAATAGTTACCAAGCTATCGCTTAGTCTCGCCGCGGCGAAGAACACAGATATTGTGGTGGAAGTTGTTTGGAGTGATACTAATGGAAAGAACAACCCGGTCCTATTGGACGACATCATCCTCCTGTGAGGAGCGTTGATCCTTTTCTTTGTTAGCATAGATATCTAGATGACCATGATGAAAAGATCTGCTTTGAAATGTTCAATTCTATGCAGCTTGTGGACATGTTGCATGAGACGTCAGCCTGTACGCTAACTGACACAGAAGTGTACGCGCGCCCTGCCTATTTGCGGATCCCATATTGACGGAGTCCAACACAAGACATTCGGACATGGAACAAAATGGTCAGGTTACATGCAACATGAAAGTTAGAAAGTCACAACATTGGGATGAAGGTCTTCGGAAGAATTTCCAGATAAGGCATAACACTCATGCTACATAACTTTCATGTCTAGGTGTGCTCATGCCACCTCTCGCGCGCTTGCTGCCCCATTACAACTCAACCCGTAATTCGGGAAAACATGTACAATGAAAATGTTCGCAATAATTAATGTCCATCGACAGTTAACCCCAGCACCTTCTCGTCTCTTCCAACAACGGGTTCCGAGTTCTTGGCTCTCCGGGGAGCCAGGCTAAGTTTTCCAAGAGAAGCATATCTCACAGCACCCCCTGCAGCTGGAATATTGTTTGCCAGGCTCCGCTTGTTGGCAAATGCCAAGGTAGCAAACTTGATGGCCTCCTTGTATGCAGCAGGAATTCCGAACTCGTCGCTAGTCACGAGCTTCAAGCCGTGCTTCTCCACCTCTTCTCCGAGATTTTTCATCAGCGTCGCGTTCCGAGTACCGCCCCCAGATGCCACAACTCGTGTAACCTCTGTTTTCGGGAGAATGAAGTCTGTCAGGCTCTTCGTGATGGATATTGCCGTAAATCGTGTCAGCGTTGCGAGAAGGTCCTCGGTGGATGCTGTGGAATATCTCTCAAGAACGGCATCTGCATATGCCGCGCCAAAGTCAAGACGCCATGCGGACCTTGGTGGCTTCCGCGTGTAAAAGTCATGCTGCAGGAGCTCTTCGTGAAGTTTGGGGATAACCTGTCCTTGGGCTGCAAGCTCGCCATCTTTGTCGTAGCCTCTACCAGTGCGAGCTTTGCAGACGTGGTCGATCATGACATTTCCCGGGCCTGTGTCGAATGCCATCATCTTGCTTCGGTCCGCATTAGCAAGCTGCAGGTTCGCGATCCCGCCAATGTTCAGAGTGACCGTCGTTCCATCGTTGCGAAAAGCGACAAAGTCAAGGTACTGCATCAGGGGTGCAGCAGAACCACCGAGGGCGTGGTCGAGAGGTCGAAACTGGGTAACCGTATCGACATCGGTTAGAGCGGCGACGACACCGGACTCGGCAATAAAGAAGCCGCAAGGAAATCCTCCTTTTAGCCAGCGGTCCACAAGACTCTTATTCCCACTTAGGACATACTCCCTCTCTTTGACACGGTCTGGCGGCTCTTGGTAGATAGTCTGGCCGTCGTAGCCGATGACGTCGATGTCTTCGGGCTTCAGATTGTTTCTCTGAATGAGGTCGTTGGCTGCCTCGGCATACAGCGCACCGGCGGCATAGTTTAACCGCGTCATTTCGAAGATGGTCAAATCATTGTTGAAGGCTCGCAGGATCAACGGTTGAAGTTCGAGAGGCCAGTCTACCGTCAGGCCGTCGACGTATTGGGGTCGAGAAGGATGGCCGTCCTCCGCGATTCCGATCTGGCAAAGAACGGCATCGACACCGTCGAAAGACGAGCCGCTGTTCAAGCCTACGATGTAGGTCATTTTGAAGGCGCTGTGAATAGAACGACGCGATGTGGCTTGGGGGAGAGGTGAGACCGGGTGCCTGTCTGGGCCGCCCTCCCGACTTATACCAAGACAAATGCTAGCATCGGGCCGTGGTTTGGGAGATCTGGAAACAGGATCATTCCCCGTCCAGTGTCCAGATTACCGAGCAATTATGTGGGGGTTGACAGCTTCCAGATCTGATCACATTGCCATATTAGGAATCGGAGCATGGACTAGTTTGCTAGCCCATCGGGGGGTCCCCCGAAGAGAGGGGAAGTCACACAAAGCCAAGTGGAGACAACTCGCAGCTGATGTTGCATGCTGTGGACGTGAGCTGACCTATCTTACGAGAACTGCAGGTTGCAGCCGATAGAGAGCCTGTTAAATCGCTGCAAGTCATACGATTCGGGAGAATGCATCCGCTCAAATGAAAAGTCCAGAATATGCCAAGAATCGTGCTCCTCCAGACGCAAGACTTGATAGTCTTCGCAACACAAGAGTCACCATCACAGGATCAACGCCGAACTCCGTCGCGAATGAAAACTTTGATGATCTATTCAGTGAGAAACCAAGATACTGCCTAATTCCTTATGTTTTTGCGCGACTATATTTTCCATATACTTGATAGATCATCAGATTTCGTTTCAATCAGAATAACCCCCTTCATAGTAACTAGAGACAACGACAATACTCACGACGACAACGACGAAAATGAAAATCATAGACATATCAACAGTAGTGATAATGAATGGCAGAGGCGACGATAGCGGCGGCGTCGACAGCAAGTATGCAGGAAGAGTGGTCGCTCCATCGCAGGAAAGATGGGGGGCCTCAAGAATAATCATCGAAGACTATGAGTTGTCTGTTCGAGATAACTCTAGCAAAACTATCCCACATGAAGCATCTTTGATAGCAAAAGCTTGAGCTTTTCTGTGTCTTCGCCAAATTTTCTCATAGCCTCGGCTGACTTTTCAACAGCGCACTCGTCACTATTGAAAGCCCATCTGAATGCTGATTCATCATTGATGTAGGAAGATTTCTGCAGGTTCGTATTCCGTGCTAAAAAACGTCAGCGGAAGATTTTTTGACTCTGGTTGGTTATTATCAGCAAAAGCACTTACCAGATTCTAGCGTCAATCTACGATCGACAGGCTCAGACTCTTGTTCCAAAGCCTCAAGAATTGCCGGCGAAGCTGTCAGCAGATCGATACCCGCTAAATCTCGAATCTGCTTGGTGCTGCGGAAACTGGCAGCCATTACCTGGGTCTTGAACTCGTACTTCCTCAGATAGTTCTGTATCTTTGAGACAGTCTCAACACCCAAATCATTCGTAATACCGTGCACCTTTCCCCAGTCTGCTATTCGCCCGACGTAAGGCGCAACGGCATCAACCCCGGCTTCGGCTGCGGTGATAGCCTGGACCAGTCCAAAGACCACGGTAATCAAGCAGCTCACACCATGGTCTCTCTGTAAAACACGTGCAGCCTGAATACCTTCCCAGGTAGCACTGATCTTGATGCGGACTTGACTCTTTGGCACACCCTGTTCACGGTAGAGGTCGATGATGCGCAAAGCTGCGGCGATAGTGGCCGCAGTATTGAAAGAGAGAGTGACGTCCACTTCGGTGCTGACTTTGCCAGTCAACTTGAAGATTTGCGTGCCAAACTGAACAGCAAGATGATCCACTGCCGCGGCCAAACGCTCAGAGGACGAGATGGCCGAAGGCAGCGCATTCGCGTACGCGATGGTGTTCGATACAATTGTAGCGTACGACGGATGCTGTGCTGCTGAGTAAAGGAGACTTGGGTTTGTTGTTCCTTCAGAGGCGCTGAAATGAGAGATTTCTGAGTTCTGATTAGCAACTGTTTTCCTGCTTTTTCTGATAGGAAGCTTCAGGAGTGCGAAGTAGTCGACTTACTGTCAAAGTCGGCGGTATCAGCGATCAGAACTGTGCCGGCATCCTGGAGCTGCTGTAAAGGTCCAGTGCCCATGATAATGATTTCTTGCTTGCCGCGAGTATATTTTCGATGCACTGGGCAACAGTTTTCAGGCAATGGGATGACAAGCTTTGGCAGTGTACTTGCTGGGATAACGAACAACCATCACGTAAGTAAATTTGGCACATCAACCTGGCCATGCCGCAAGTAAGTCATGCTACATCTTCATTATTTCAAAATCAACAACAATCAAAATATCACCGATAGCTGTTGATAAGTGTCGGGGGATAGTCCGTCGGATCAGTCCCCCGTCGGAGCATCCCCCGGGCGTTGAGGCCAACCAGGACACTCCTGGCTCCAAGCACATCATCACGTCTCACCAAATCACTGACTAAGTAATAAACATTTGCTGCGACATTCTGTATAACCATCACTGTTTAAGCTTCAAGGCACGACTTACCAATATTAGCAGTTTCACTACTCTACCGGAGCGTCCCCCGATTAAACAGTCTGGGCCCTCGTTTTCACAGCTCCTCCCCCTAAGCCTTACCCCAGACTCGGACAATATGTACCCCAGTGATTCATTCCTTACGGGCGGGGCTAGTGGGATTTAGTGGTCTCTAGTGTTATGGACCCACTAGTTGTCAACCTGCCATCTACAAATATTTATCGCCAAGATGCCATGACTTGATTGCGCCGTTCGCTCAAGAGTTTGACATCGTTCAGCGATCTCTGTTCCAGTCGTTCTCGAAGCCCTCTCGAGATGGGCATGTTCAACATTGACTGGCGTTCCAACGCCTGGGCCCTGGCGTACTGCGGGGTCTCGACCTTCGGCGCTCTTTGTTATGGCTACGACCAGATTTACTACACTGGCCTCCTGGGAATGCGACCGTTCATTGACGATTATGGCACGGCGACCGATAGCAAAGGGCTCAAGGCCCTGACGACGTCCTTCATGTCGCTCACTGCTTCCATCATTTATGTCGGCGAACTCGTTGGCGCCCTACTTGCCGCTCCGATCAACGATCGCTGGGGTCGAAAGGCGGTGTTCTACTTCGCCTCTTCCTGCATCATCGCAGGGGCAATTGTCCAGCTTACCGCCCGCGGTATCGAAGGCCTCATCATTCTCGGTCGCATTCTGATCGGTCTCGGCGTCGGGCAGTTCACGGTCACCTGCTTGCTGTACATCGGCGAGGTGGCTCCACTTGCGATCCGGGGGCCTGCACTGATGATGTTCCAATTCATGCAGTCCTGTTCCCAACTTGTCGGCTCAGGCATCACCCAAGGGACCGAGGCGATTGCCAACAAGAACGCATACCTGATCCCGATGGGTCTTTTGATTCTTCTCCCTGGGCTGATGATCATGGCATTGCCGTTCACGCCAGAGAGCCCGACATGGTACGCGACAAAAGGACGGCTACCTGAAGCCGAGATAGCACTTAGGAAAATCAACAAGAGTCACCGCGACTACCAACCTGCTTACGATATTCAAATTTTAGACGAGGCGGTCAAGAGAGAAGCTGCCTACGCTGCAGATTCTACCTGGATTTCTCTTCTGCGAGACCCAATCGAGCGACGCAAACTGATCTACTCCTGCGGCGCCATGGTTGCACAGCAAATCAACGGCATCCAGTTTTTCTATTCCTATGGTGTGGTTTTCGCGCAATCAATCGGCATCAAAGAGGCCTTCACAATTTCGCTTATTACAAATATTCTACAGGTCATCTCAGTTGCCGTTTCAGTTGTCCTTGGTAACAAAATTTCACGTCGCAAGAATCTCCTAATTTGCACAGCCGGCATCTTCGGGGCGCTTGTCGTTGTTGGAGGCCTGGGTTCGCAGAGAGCTCCGTTCTCCAACGGCACCAGCGCTGCCATTGTGGTTTTCTCGTACATCGTGATCGTCTGCTTCAATTTTTCGCTGGGTCCACTGGCTTTCACAATCGCCTCGGAGATGGCAGTGGGGCGCAACAGAAACAAGATCATGTCTTGCTCAATCGTCTGTTTCTTCCTGACTGTTTGGGTCATTGCTTTCGTTTCCCCTTACTTGTACTACGACGCGAACTTGGGACCCATGCTAGGGTTTGTCTGGGCAGGGACGACCATTATCACGCTCACATATGTCTGGTTCTGTGTTGGGGAAACGACGGGCCGAAGCAACCTCGAACTCGAACGATTTTTCTTGGAGAAGGTTCCGGTTCGGCAATGGAAGAGGCACCGCTTCATGGACGTGGCTGGTGCCGAGGATCCCAAGTCCGTGGTCCATGTGACTGAGAGAGAAACCCTTGGGAGTGGAATGTCCTCTGCTGCTAAGTAGCATCGGCCAAGGCCGGTAATTCTACTATAAGACGCCATAAAATACAATTGTATTAAGTATTGAGAATATTTGAATCTTTCAGGGCCTCACCGACATTTCCCAGCCACGAGGGCTTGTTTTTGACCTAGAATTCAGCTCTGGGTGACGTAGGCTAGTGACTTTTACACCTTGACAAATGTTAGCCGACGTTCCACCGATTGACTTCCCCTCCCCCTCCCAGTCGTTTCAATGTTTCTACTTTCACCTTTCTCCACCAAAGACATTGAAATCCAATCAGTGATTGCGTTGCCATGATGTTCCGCGAAGATGGCGCCTACGCCCAAGACAAATCTTGCCTGCGATACCTGCCGTCAAAGAAAATCGCGATGCGATGGCGTTCGTCCGATCTGCACCCATTGCAGAAATGCGGGACGTGAGTGCACCTACAGGCCAACCCCGACAAGCCTAGAAGCGTAAGTGATCTCAACTACCAGCCATTATTCAGGATTCGCAGGTGTACTTTGCCAAGAAAGAAATGAGGGGGCGTAGAGCCCAAACACTAAGACCATCACAGGGATAACTATGTTTTGTCCCGGTTAACACACGTAGAGGCACGCCTCAAGCAGCTCGAAGAGAGATCAGATCACAGTCGTCGTGCAAGCGAAAGACTTGCGTCTACTTGTCATAGTACTCCGAGCGCACATGCAACCTCATCTCAGCATTCATCTCTCGTCAAGTTTCCAGAGCTTCACACTGCAGCGGCTTGCAAAATGCTTGTCTACTGGCCCAGGATCCGTATCAATTTTACTGTCCCTGGGATCTCAGCTGCAAATTATTTGTCCGAAACTGATCATTCAGACGCGACCCTGCTCAGCTCTCTCTCCTCAAGATCTTCGACCCCAACCTTGATGCTCTGGCAAGTGTCTCGAGTGCTCGAAGAGTTCTATGATAATACTTCGAGTAATTTACCAGTCTACATCTCGGAGTTGATTCAGAGTTGTCCAAAGCTTAGTAGTCAATTTGTGGCTAACAACCTGCGAAACATGTTTGGAATGGACATGGACTCTTTGGATACTGTGCTTGTGGACATCAAACAGCTTCCGATCTCGATATTACTCGTTCTTTCCATCGCGCTAAGATCGGCTGATAATAGTCCACTCAATTTGGGACCAGAGCTACTCCTGGCGCTGTCCGAGGCCAGTTTCACAAATGCACTCCAAAGTCAATGGACTTTGCTCTCCGTTGTAGACGACGAACGGATACCACTGTCTCTTCTCATGGCTTACTGCTTGATGTATTTCTGGGCAAGACCGTTTCATGCACTGGGATTGGTACAGTCGCTGGATCCGGTAATACGCACTTTCTCTATGAGGAATGGAGACGAATCGTACGTTGTTACACAAGATCAATGACCTCATCTTACTCACGTCGCCACAGTCTCGGAAGGCTCTACTACAGACTGCACTACATCATTGAATGGTAAGTGGAAATTCTTGCAAGCCAGATTTCCTTGGAAGACTCATGTGTTCTAGTGATATCCTCACCGAAGTTGATGGCATACCATCGGATAAAACATTCGAGGTGCTTACCAAAACGAACGATGAGTCCATGTCGGGCTTTCTGGAGAGTCATTTGTGGCTTAGAAGTCACCTCAATAAAGTGCTCCAGTACCTTTACAGCACAAGCAAGGCATATGCTCAACCTCACGAACTGGCCGATCTGGTGTGCAACTTGTCGGCGGACCTACGAGGCTGGTTCCAATCTCAACCTTTGGGCGCCCAATTCGCACGCGACGCCACAGCATTTAGCATGAGCGTTCCCACCATGCCCCTACGAAAAGTGAGCGAGACTCTTTGTCCAAAAAAGATCCACTGACATACGGTGACTATAGAGAGAAATCGCACTACGATACTTCGCATGCGCCTTTCTGTTACATCGCCCCGTGTTGTACTTCTTCCTCCACAAGGACATGGAGTACACAGTACGACCCCCCGACACACAAGCACTTCGCTCCGACCAAGCACCCTGGATCCTCGAGTCGTGCCGCGACTGCATCGAGGGCGCCACGCTCTTTGTACACTTCTCATGCATCTCCATGGACTCTCAGAGCAGCAAGATGGAGCGATCATATCGCAGCTGGTGTGACATCCAGCTTCTGTTCGCGGCATATTTGGTTCTGGTCCAGGTCAAATCTGTTCCCGCTTTGGTGCCGATCTTTCGGGTCCTGGGAGATATGGAGAATCTCCTCGACCAGGCTGAGCGTATGTTCGAACTGTTTCCCATAGACTCGTTGAAGATTCGCAAGAGCTTGGAGGTCCTTCGCAGCCAACGCCAAAATCTGGACGCCGCTTCACCGGTGTATTCGCACGGTTCGGTGTGATGTTTGGATGTTGATGAAAATAACAACAGAGCTTCTACAGCCACATTTGAGAAGCAATACTAATCCAAATGAAGTTAAACGTATAAACTTGATAACCAACTAACCTAAATGTGAACTGTTGTGCCTACTATACAGACTCAGCCGTTGTCAATATCTTCCCAAATCGATAGCACTTCACATCATCAAAACACGCCGCAAGAAGTGCTTTTGCCCCTCAACATTTTTTTCGAATGAAATCCCACCTTTGTACAAGTCAAAGTGACCCCCTTCGACTCTGAGCCCCTCTCCCAGCGGCGCTCGCTTTACACATTGTTCTGCTGCTTCCAATGACGCTTCATGATCCCACGTCGGCAAGACAATCAAGTACGGGCGGATGCTCTTGTGAACTTGCAGCAGCGGCCGGGATAGCATGATACTCAACAAAGATCTCCCAGCAATCATATTTGGCCAAGATTCCCCGTTCTCAGGCTCCAGCCTAGACCAGCCCTCAATGACCTCTTTGGACGCCATGATAGCTGTCGAAGACCCGTCGCTCACCAGTTTGACATACTGCGGTTCTTGAAATCCCATCATTGAACCAACAATATCTGCAGTAGCAGTGACTGCCAGTCTCAAAGACCGCAGAAGCGGCATTTGAAGGACACCCGCGGGGCCGTCCACCAGAGGACACTGAGAAATCCCGGCAACTAGGTCGTGATCCTCGCTCATGAGCGCCGTGACATGCATGCCACCAAAACTGCTGCCCCACGCAACGATGCGGGAAGAGTCGACCCATTCGCTTTGGTCTGGATCCCGTGCCCACTTGAGAACGTCTCGGAAATCTTGCAACTGGTGTTGGACGTTGAGAACGTTTCGTGGGGTGCCTTCGCTTTCCCCAAAGCCGATATAATCGAACGTCACCGCCACATATCCCTCTGAAGTGAAGGCGCTCGCGAAAGGAGACAAGCCCGCAGCTTTGATGGCTCCAATACCGTGGCCCATTACAATCGTTGGAACGGGTCGCTTGAGTCCATCTGGTTTATATATGGAGATGGCAATTTTATGGTTGTTCCAGCTGGACCGAACGAACCCGTCTTCGATGGTATAACCCATTTTGACAGGGGTAGTGTCAAAAGAGACGGTGAACTGTTGGGGAGCGTCCACGAGATCTCCTTACAACGCAAGTTCAGTGCGTGCTTAGTATTCAGACTCGAAGTCGATGAAGAATGATAGAATCACTAATCATGACTATTGCTTGCGCTGATCTCGCTACGAGAGCCAATTCTACAATTCGAGATCTTCGCACAGACGAAATTCGAAGTTAAACCTCGGCTTGAAATGCGGAGTATCACATCGTCTGACGTCGCCCTGATGAAAGCTTAATAGGCGCAGTGCGGCAGTTGCGGGGAAGACGTTGAACGGAGCCCGGACCCCACCTTCGGAGACGCTGTCCATCCGTCCATCCGGCCTGCATATACACGATAGCTCTTTGAGCTCACTATTCACGGACTCAGGCGTCATAACAACTGGTTAATGATTGATTGAGGCTGCTGGATGATTTCGCTTGTTCATCATGTCGACTCTACTCAATCTTGCACCCTCCGGCGTCACCGGACGAATTCCAGACCTGCTCCGCTTCTTGAAGATATCCAAAATCTCCAAATCGTTCTCTCGAAATGGCTGGGCAAGATATGCCTTGGCAATTCTACTCGGGTGGACAGCTGTGAAGAAGGCGAGCAGAGCGCTGGGGAATGCCGCCTTGAATAACTACAGCCATGACAAATATGACTGGAGACGGGAGCTGGTGCTGATTACCGGTGGTTCCGGTGACATGGGCGACATGCTCGTACGCAAGCTGGCCAAGAACTGCGTCAAGGTCGTCAGTATCGACATAGTTCCTCCAAGAACACCACTTCGTAAGTTCATCAACTTTCACGTCTCCTCATTCGTCTTTTTCTTGAGGGCGGGTTGTGTCTCATCTGACCGAATTTCCAGCATCCAACGCATACTTCTACCAAGCGGATATCACCAAGGCAACGTCCATCAAGGAGACCGCGGACCAGATCCGGCAAGATCACGGAGACCCCACTGTCCTGGTCAACAATGCCGGCGTCATGAAGATCTCCACTATTCTCGACGAGACGGAGGAGCAAATCCGCCAAACCTTTGACGTAAACATCATTTCCAACTTCCTCCTGATCAAAGAGTTCCTCCCTTCAATGATCAAACGCAATCACGGTCACGTCGTCACGATTGCGAGCATGGCCAGCTTCGTGACCGGCGTGCAGAATGTCGACTACTCCTGCACCAAGGTCGGCGCTCTGGCCCTCCACGAAGGCCTGGCACAGGAACTTCGGCATCGCTACCATGCACCCAAGGTCCGAACGAGGTGAGGCCAAGCCCGAAAACCCTAGCTAGATCATTTCGGAAGACGAGACTGACGCGGCCCCTCCGGGAATAGCATCATTCACCCAACTTATGTGCGCACGGCTCTGATTGACAGAGTGCACAGCTCAGGAAAGTTCAGGGCCTTGCTGCTTGAGCCTGAACATGTCGTACACCAAATTTCCAAGCAAATCATGTCTGGACGTAGCGGTCAAGTATATGTGCCCAAACAGTACTCGCGTGCTGCGGGAGCACGCGGTTGGCCTCACTGGGCCCAGGAAGGCCTCCGGAATGCACAAAAAGATGTACTGTTCCATGGTTAGCCGCTTGAGTAGTACAAGGCATGTGAGGGCGTGTTGAGTGAGCTCAGACTGTGTTGGGTTGGTTTGCTCATGATTCTCAACGACAGAATGACGTTCATTTACCTTTAGTGCATCACTAGTTGTGTTGGCTTTGCATCATGTGTAAATATGGATCGTAAGTAATGAGGAGACTTTTCTGGTCCCAAGCGCAAACAAGAGTGAGGGTTTAGAGCGACGCCCAGGACCCACGTTCTCGACCCATTGTAGCAGTCTTGTGGTGCTTTTCGTAAGGTAGCATCCAAACCAAGCGACAAACACAGCCAAACGGCAGTTGTGTGAGTCTTTGTGAAATCCATTATTAGATCACGTTTTCTGAGTTGCGTGCATACTTCTGAATTCAGAACTTCTCAGCAATCCATACGACGCCGCTAAAGTCGGTAAAGTAGTTGGTTTTCACTCATCATAGGTGGAGTCCTTGAACTAGTGTTGTGCCCAGGCCAGTACAGTAAACGGGGCCTCCAAGGCTTGAATTTGGCATCAATTTAATTTAATTACAGAATGGAGAACATCGCGAACTGTAAAGTTAAGCCTAACGTTTGTTCGAATTAGTGAAACGCTTGTGTTGGTGGCCTCCAATGACTGCCGTCCCAACCACCGGAAACCCCATATCGACACGGGCCTCAGAGAGCCATGTGTCTCCCACATTCCATCCGTTCAGACTGCGCCTTTACCAATATCATGACTTTCTCTATAGCTACGCCGCAAAAGTCGTTCGTCATCGCGACTGACGACGGCGGTGTAGCTGCGCAATGGGCCAATGACCTTTCGACATTGCATACCCCTGATCGTCGCACCCTTCAGCTCACCTGGCCGAACTTCCACGATGAGTTCTAGACGTTTGAAAACCCGAGCTTCGATCCATGCGGTCGGTCTGAAGTTTTCAGCTGAAGAGAAAAAGGAGGCTCTAAAAATGACAGGATTTGCCGGAATCCGACGTCGACCCCGGAATCTCCCACATCACGTGTAGATCGGCCGCGCAATCAACGGCCCCCGCTGTCACATCAGAGTCGAAACATGGACGTGTGGGGTCCAAAGAGGATTGCGAATCTACAAGGCAACGTCAGAGCCAGAAACCCCCAGCTTCCCGTGATACGTCTCCTTGTTTGCACCCTTTTCGCGCTTTTTCTCCGAAGAGACCGGGTTCCCAAAACAAGCTCCCGCCGCCCCACAAGGCTTTGGCTCCCGCTTACCCGTTGGAACCAACCCGCCCTCCCATCGATAGACTCAGCCATGCGATTGAAGCTGCAGAGCCTCTTTACGGGGTATGCCGTGAGGCTGGGGTCCAGCTAGTCTTCTTTCTGTTTACTTTTACCTAATTCAAGCTTCGCAATCGTCCGATGGAGGCTGGGTTATCCCATCGGGTCCATGTCAAAGCTCGTTTGAGGTCGGCGGGCAATGACATGCCATCTAAACTCCTGTTGTTGCAAGATGCCTGGTGGCGATGTCGTGATGTCTCCTATGTTCAGATGTAGAACGCGTCGACATGTCTGGACTGTCGGTAGAGATCGCCGAGAAACGTCAGCTGAATGGCAAGCCCAAACGAGCTGGAGATGGAGCTGAACGTGGAGCTGACGATCCTCCTTTTTTGTTGGTGACCATGAGATGAGAATTCAAGTATAAAGACTCGTCTCGATCTCGACTAGAGTTGGTTTTCTTTTCCTCATCATTCTCAACAACATCAACAGTTTTCTACTTTCCTCTGCTCTTCAACATTCTCTTGTGCTGTGCACTTTTTTAACATCTAAGTCTTATTCTCGAGCTTTCGATTCTTCGACGATACCCTCACTTGAACATCATCTCCTACTTGTCAACTTTTTTCAAGACAATCTTTAGTGTCCATTCTTCAAAATGCGTTACTCCACTCTCACTGTTCTCGCCATCGCCCTTCTTACCGGCAATGCCTTGACTGCCCCTACTCCTCAGGGTGGTGCCGGCGCCATCGGAGGCGGTAACATTGGCGGAGGCAACAACAACGGAGCCAACAACGGCGGCGCCGGAGCCGGAGCCAACAACGGCCAGAACCAGAACAATGGTCAGAACCAGAACAACGGCCAGAACAACAACCAGGCTCCTCCTCCTCCCGCCAACAACAACAACAATAACAACAACAACAACCAGGCCCCGCCCCCTGCCAACAACCAGAACCAGAACCAGCAGCAGCAGGGCAACAACAACGCCGCCGCGAACAACGGTGCCAACAACAACGCTGTGAACAACCAGGCTAACGGAGCCAACGGAGCCACCGGAGCTGGCCGCAACACCGCCGGCAATGGCAACTTCCGCCGCGCTGCCCCGAACCAGCAGCCTCCCCCGCCCCCGGCCAACAATCAGACTCCTCCTCCTCCCAAGCCGAACCAAGCTCGTGCTGCTCCCAACCAGCAGCCCCCTCCTCCTCCCGCCAACAATCAGACTCCTCCTCCTCCCAAGCCGAACCAAGCTCGTGCTGCTCCCAACCAGCAGCCCCCTCCTCCTCCCGCCAACAACCAGACTCCTCCTCCTCCTAAGCCCAACCAGGCCCGCGCTGCTCCCAACAACCAGCCTCCTCCTCCTCCCGCCAACAACCAGACGCCTCCTCCCCCTAAGCCCAACCAGGCGCGTGCTGCTCCCAACCAGCAGCCTCCCCCGCCCCCGGCGAACAACCAGACTCCTCCTCCTCCCAAGCCTAACCAGGCTCGCGCTGCCCCCAACCAACAGCCCAATCAGCAGGCTCCTCCTCCTCCTGCCAACAACCAGACCCCGCCTCCCCCCAAGCCTAACCAGGCTCGCGCGGCTCCCAACCAGCAGCAGCAGCCTAACCAGCAGGCTCAGGCTCCTCCTCCTCCCGCCAACAACAACAACAACAACACTCCTCCCCCTCCCAAGCCTAACCAGGCCCGCGCTGCTCCCGGCCAGCAGCCCAACCAGCAGGCTCCTCCCCCTCCTGCCAACAACCAGACTCCTCCTCCTCCTAAGCCCAACCAGGCTCGTGCTGCCCCCAAGCAGCAGCCTCCCCCTCCTCCTCCCGCCAACCAGCAGGTTCCTCCCCCTGCTGCCATCTAGAGGACGGTCTGAGCTAAGCCGTCAGCGGTTCTTTCCTTGTACCGACTCAATGGGTCTTAATGGCTGGGTTTAATGATGGACGATGGATCACAAGATCTTTGACAGACTTGTCTTCCGCTTCAGTAGCATGTAAACTTAGTCTCTAGCAGCTAGAATGATCGGCTATTTGATAGCCATGCAATAATGGATTATATGCCTCTATAACATGACCATCGCCTTAAATCTTGTGAACAAACTTGCCTCTTTCTGTAGTCTCTGCGAAGAATGAAATCTTCAGCTTATCAGCCACATCTTGCTGAAATGGCGAGTTCTTACTCATAACTGAGAGAATATAAAGATGACTGACTGCTGAATTAATCTGACTTTACATTCGGGTGTTTTCTTGCTCTCAAATGCCATTAAAAAGAGTCTGTCTGTGACTTGGAGTCACCACTGACGAGCTAATGTACACTCGCGTAGCTCTCCCTCAATGAGCCATTTCCATAGCAGCAGTCTCGTTCTGCTGTTGGACCGTAGTCTTATAAGTCTTGAATTTCCGGGCCGGAACGCCCTTTGCGAACATCTCGTCCAGTTCCGCATAAGATCGGCCTCCAGTCTCCGGCTGGAAATACCAGAGGTAGAGCAAGGAGAAAAAGCAAAGTGCAAAGAATATGAAAGCAATTTTGGCACCCAAGTTGGCCTTGTCAGGGTTGAAACTTATATCCAAGTTAGTAATCTTCCCTGAAAATTCATTTCATAGGTCTACTCACAGATATGGAATAACGAACTGCCACATGACGTTGATGGAGTTTTGGGATGCGTAGCCGATAGCGACGGTCTTTACTCTCAGGCGCGACGTGGATGTTTCGGCGAGAAGAGAGAAGGCGGTCGATCCGATGGAGACGTTGTACCACCAGCTGTAGATGAGAATAAAGGCTACAGTGCCCTTGATCATGGGCTGGCTGGTGCCTGTTCCCAGACCTCCGGTGATGAGCAGGAATGCGGTGAGAATGGCGAGGCCGTAGAAGGTAAGGTTCCTTCGTCCCACCTTGTCGACGACGGCAGCGGCCATCAGGTTTCCGACGATTGACAGAACGGGTTGAGCAATCTGGAGCTGGTAGCTCATCGAGGTCGAGTAGCCAGCAAGTTGAAGATAGTAGGTGAAGTATCTGAGGACAAGTGTTAGTTGTGCTTGAGAGGAAAGGGTCTAAGGCAGTGTGTATCTTACCCAGCGACAAACGAGATGCCAGAGAAAGCCTGAATGATCAGTGGCATGATACTAATGATCGTGCGGCGCAAGTTGGACTTCTTGAAACATTCCAGGTATGTCACACCCTGAGTCTCTTTGCGAACTTCATCCAGGGTGAGCTCGATGAGGGCGAGCTTTGCTTTACCCTCGTCACCCCTGTGTCCAAGCCTATGAAGACTCTTGAGTGCCTGCTCCTTCCTTCCTTTGGACACGAGCCACCATGGTGACCTGTGAAGAGTAAGATTTAGCTTACTTCGAGTGCAGACCGGACGAGGCCTTGCAACCAGCCGCACTTACTCTGGCATGAATGGCCACAAGAGGGCAGAAACTCCTGCAAAGCCGAACTGGCAGCAAAACACGGTGCGATAGGCCCATCGAGACTGGACTTGTCCGGTGTAGTTGATGACAATGAAGGCGACTAGAGGGCCAATACCGTATGCTACACCGACACCGCAGGTGAAGACACCACGAAGCGCCAAGGGGGTGATCTAAGGGGTAGGAGTCAGTTGGGACTTGTGCAGCACCGAAGAAAGGGGTCTCCGACATACCTCTCCGATGTAGCTGACCATGACAGTACCGACAGCACCAACCATTACACCATTGAGAAGTTTACCAAGGAAGAAGACCACGTTCGTCGTAGCCACGAACTCGATGGCAACTGCAATGAAGGATATGATGAGAGCAAGAGCGAGGACCTTCTTACGTCCGATGTAGTCGGCAAGCTCGGCGGAGGCAACTGAAGCGATGACCGCACTATGCCGGCAAGTTAGCCATCACAACATGTCGAAGAAGCCGGCGAGTCAAGAGACTTACGAGGCAACGGGTGCACCATTGAATGCAGACTGCCACACGGCATGCAGAACATATTGTCCCTTGTACTCATAACCAAAGTCCTTTCGAAACTCGGGGATTCCGACAACGGAACTGGCCGCTTGGGTGTCGAAACTGAGGAGGATGATGGTCCAGCAGGCATACACACACCAAGCTGAAGCCCAAGGATAGCGGATGAAGGATTTGAGGATGCCAGTCTCGTGGTCCTCGTGGTCGGCGGCGTGAGCCAACTGCGAGTCGGCGGTGACTTCGACGTGCTTGGCATGCGAGTCGACCTTTTCGGCTTCGTAGCCGTCACCATCGTTCTGTGCAGTCATGGTGAGTGATTATCTCATGAACCAGTAAGACCAAAAATAAAAAGTAAAGAAAGAATGTCTTCGTCGATGCCGAGCCAACACTGAAAAGCAATTGGCCCGAGTTGAGGGTTGTCAGAGACTTTTAATAGGCGAATGCAAGATTGGGAAATCAAGGCATGATAATTAGACTCGGACGACATATCCGAGCGTCTGGGGGAGGCAAGTCTGGGGAATTTGCGAGGGGCCCAGACGACCGGTTCGAGGGAACCGCTCCAAGCTGCCATCTACCGCCGCAGCGAAAAATGGTTCCCCCATGGGGGTGTCAAGATTTATGCGGAGGTGGGCCGCGAGCAGGGAATGACCAGGGTGCTGTCAAGGCGTGACCACGTACCAACGTGGGAGTCGTAGGCACTCACCTCCGCATTCGTGATGGGCTGCCCGTGGGGTGAGGGGTTCGCGGGTGGCTCAAATTGCCCGATCGGGACATGCCCGCGTGGTTTGAATCAGGTGCTAGTTTAGATTCCCCGTAATTTGCAGCCCCCATCCTTGGACTTGCCCCTCGCCGAACATTCTTCAGAGCCTCCGACTGCCTCTTCGGACGACGAGCAGCTGGTGAACGGGAGAGTTCTGTCAGAGGCGCCAAGTTTTAGAGTTTGGCCCCTTCTTAAACGGCGTGCGTGGGCTCTCATTTCGACTCGTTTGAGAAATCTCAAGAGCGGACGACGACGTAGACGACATTGAATAACAAGTTGCCGCCCAAACCATTCGCGCCGATCACCAGACCAAAGACTCGAGTCAACTCCGAACACAAGTCCGATCGCATCCGAGCTCCCAAAATCCCACCTCCACAGACATCACCAAAACCCATCACAAAGATGGCCGCATCAACAATCAAAGGGGCAGCCGCCCTCACTCAGTTCCCGTCGAAGCCGCGAGTCTTCATTTTGACAGACATTACCAACGAGCCTGACGATGCAGAGTCCTTCTGCCGTTATCTCACTTACTCCAACCAATTCCGCACAGAAGGCGTTGTCGCCGTCACGTCGGTATGGCTCAGGAACAAGGTCGCGCCGCAAAACCTCCACGAGATTGTGAATGCGTATGAGAAGGTTGTCGACAACCTCAACGCCCACGCGCATCCGGGCTCCCCCTACCCTTCGGCGCAGACAGTGAGAGACCTCATCAAGTCTGGTCCTCCGGTAAGCCAACTCCTGCCCTCTGACTGCCCTCACAATGGCTGACTGGAATCGGTTGTCAGGTCTATGGCATGGAAGCTGTCGGCGATGACATCCCTCTGAGTGAAGGCGGCGAGCTGCTCCTCGAGCGACTAACCGCGCCCGACGCCGAGCCGCTCTGGGTCCTCGTCTGGGGCGGCATCAACGTGCTCGCCCAGGTGCTGCACAAGATCCGCAACCGCCCCGACGCCGCGGCCCTGCGCCAGAAGCTGCGCGTCTACACCATCTCCGACCAGGACGACTGTGGCGCCTGGATCCGCCAGCAGTGGCCTGAGATCTTCTACATCTGCTCCGTCCACGGCTGGAACCAGTACCAGTGCGCCGCGTGGATCGGTATCTCCGCCCCCTGCGCGGGTGACCAGGGCGGACCGGACGGTTCCAAAGTGACGCACGAATGGGTCAAGGAGAACGTTCAAATCGGCCCCTTGGGCGCGGCATACCCCAACTTCGAGTTTATCATCGAAGGAGACACGCCTACCTTCCTCTACCTCATCCAAAACGGCCTTGGTGTTCCCGAAGAGCCCATTTACGGATCCTGGGGAGGGCGCTACATCCCGGCCAACGTCAGCTCCAGGGGCTTGCCCGCCAGGGGCCACTTTGCCGATGCCATCGACACCGTGATCGGTGTCGACGGCAAGCCGCACAGATCGAACCAAGCTACCATCTGGCGCTGGCGGAATACCTTCCAGGACGACTTTGCGGCGCGCATGCAGTGGACTCTGACGTCCGACTTTAGCAAAGTTAACCACCACCCCGTTCTTTCAGTCAACGGCGACTCCAGTCTGACGCCAATCCATATTGATGCAGACGCCGGTGGTGTTATATCGTTCGACGCATCTGAGAGTTACGATCCGGATGGCGATAAGCTGAGTTATAAGTGGTATCAGTACCGTGAGCCCAGCTCGCTGCAGACGTACCACGGCATGGAGGTCTCTGAGCTTGAGATCAAGCCTCTGAACGAGGACGGAAGCAAGGTGGAAATCACCATTGCCCCAGCAGAAAAGTCGTGTTTGGTTTGGAGGGAAAAGATTCCTCTCGAGCGCGGTCTCCCTCTCCATTTGATCCTCGAGGTCAAGGACAACGGCTCGCCGCCTTTGACGAGCTACCGCAGAATCATCATCCAGCCGATCGACCGGAACTTCAGTTCAAGAAAGTAGAAAAAAGGTTGCATAGACATGGGTTCAACATAGATTAACACTTGCATCGCACAGCTGCCAAGATTCGGATGTCGTGATTTACGAGGATGATAACGCTCATATCATGGCGTTCGCAGTGCTGACATCTGATCCCGTTATGTAGCTCCGCGCAGCTGGAAGCATGAGGTAGGTCGGGACGACAGCGACTCTTATCTGCTTTGTGCCGCCGGTCAAAACTTTGTTTCAATGCAAATCATTTCAACACAATTAAGGTGTGCCCCGTTCAAACCCAGATCCGGACCAACTTCGATTCGGTACACCAATCGGCAGAGGGCCGGCTGACGCTCGGCCGGGACCTCATCCTTCGAAGCATCAACTGCCGACGGGACCCACCCGCTCCGCAAGCCCGCCCGTCGGACTTAGGTGACGAACCTACGTATCTCCATGTGTCCCGGCCCGTCCGCAAGTTATTAGACTTTCGGGGTGCGGGTTTCATGAGACCCCGCTTTATTCGTCCCATCCTGAATCGTGTCTTAGCGTCGGGACGCCTCAACAAATGAAGTTCTAGAAACGCATTAGTCTAGACCCTAGACCGCCTCAGGTATTGCATCAAGAACGGTTATATAAAGAGACTTCATCGGCATTCCGGCCAGTTTCGTTTCGTTCGCTACAGACTAGACATCTCCCAGCTTATAATAACGACTTACAGCCTTCTTCAACATGGTCCGGTTCAACCCAAGCAGCGACATCCCTGACCTCTCAGGCAAGGTCATCATCGTCACCGGAGGCAACATCGGCCTCGGCAAGGAGACCGTCACGCAGCTCAGCAAGCACAACCCAGCACACATCTACCTCGCCGCTAGGAGTCAGTCAAAAGCGCTGACAGCCATCGAAGACATCAAGAAGAATGTCCCCAACGCCGCGCCAATCACCTTCCTGGAACTCGACCTGACGTCCTTTGAGAGCGTCAAGCGAGCCGCCAAGGAGTTCCAGTCCAAGGAACAGAAGCTCCACCTCCTCATCAACAACGCCGGCATCATGGCCTGGCCCGCTGACACCACGAAGGAAGGGTACGAGATCCAGTTCGGCACAAACCACATGGGCCATGCCCTCTTCACCAAGCTCCTTCTCCCCACGCTCTCCAAGACCGCCAAGTCGGACAGCGACAAGGACGTGCGCATCATCAACCTCTCCTCGGCCGCCGAGGGGTACCCGTCGAAAGACGTGTGGAACTTTGAGGCCCTCAAGACCGACATGGCCTCGTACAGCACCTGGGCGCGCTATGGCTGCTCGAAGCTTGCCAACGTCCACCACGCCCGCGCTCTGGCCAAGAGGTATCCGGAGATTCGGTGCATCTCGCTCCATCCCGGTGTTGTCAGCACGAACCTCGGCAGCGGACTGTTGGCTAGCTGGCCGCTATTCAGGCCTCTGATCAACCTTGCGCTGTGGGCTGTGACGACGTCGGTTGGGGAGGGAGCCAAGAACCAGCTGTGGGCTGCGACGAGCCCGGAAGCGAAGACTGGTGTGTTTTACTGGCCTGTGGGGGTGACGGGCAAGGACTCGAAGCTTTCTTTGGAAGATGACCTTGTTGAGAAGCTATGGGACTGGACGGAGAAGGAGTTGGAGCCGTACGTTTAATGTTTCGCTGGTTCGGTCTGTTTGATATGTAAGATGCCGTGTTTATAAGTGATGTCAATTGTATGCTTTTATGTTGATGAGTTATGCTGGATTCGAACGTTCTGTTGTTGTACCCTCAGTGCGCAGAGAATTGCCGCTGGGGAGTTGTTCAAATATCTATGTTGGGGTACGCATGGCTGAAGAGGTTCGTTGGGTCGTACTTCATCTTGAGCTCCTTTACCCTAGTCCACTTCTCACCGTAGAGCTCCGCCGCACCCCTCTCCCCCGGCGGATTCGTAGCTGGGTAGCCCCTATCCAGTACCGTATCTTCGCCCAACGACCGCAGCCTGGCAATCAGAGACTTGCTCCACGCGATGACATCTTCGGCGTACTCCTCCGTCGGGTGTTGGTACGAACAGGAGAAGTAAGAGTGACTCTTGTCGACAAAGCAATTCGGCGGCACCGTCGCAGCATCAATGTCTACCATGCCTCCCCAGGCAATATTTGGGCCCATCGTTCTGGGCATAGCTTCGGCGGCATCAAGGATGGCTGCTGCCAGTTCGTCGCCGGCGTCGCTTGTTGGAAGACGAGCAAGGAAACAGTTCCTTTGTCCACCTTTCAGAGGACATGGCGGAGGCATATTCTGCTGGCGGATTTTATCGGGCAACACCTCCACGGTGGACGCAAGCAAGGGCGGGGTGTTGTCTTTCCAGCTCTGTAGACAAGCCTGTCCCTTCTCGATATCGCCCGTCCAGGTCCAGATGACGCTAAAGACGACTCCTCCTTGGGCCTGCCAGCTGATGAAGTTGTGGATCGTTAGCTCCTTGGGCATAGGGAGCTTGGGGGGTGGCTTCGAAGTATGCCTCGAGAGTTTTCCTGATATCGCTGGATTCGAAGATGAGAAAGCCGCCAAGGGGCTGTTGAGGTTAGCTCGGTCAGGTTGGCGAGTCTTCCTTCAACTTACATCGTGTTTGGGGTACACCTTCACGGTCAGACTTGTAATCACGCCGAGGTGACCGCAAACACCTCTGACTCCCTCAAGCATTTCCTCGTCGGCGACAACTTCTTCGCCTTTTGCGTTCACGAGCTCCGCCTCGACGACCTGCTCGATTCCCATGCCATGGATATGGGTGCTCGTCCCGTAGCCACCGTTCGATACCCAGCCCGCGTAGCCGATGATCCAAGTATGACCCGTCGGCGTCATCAAGCCAACATCGTCCAAAGCGAGGATCAGGTCCTTCATCAGAACCCCACCCCCAATAACGACTGTCTGACGATCTTCCGCGACCTTGATGCTGTTGATGCCGCGCATGTCGATCATGAGAGTGTCGTGTGCAATGCTGCGCGCCCAAAAGTCATTGCCGCCTCCTCTGATGGTGAACTTGAGATCAATTGACTTGGCCCATCGTACGAGTCGCCGTACCTCGGAGCTATCTCGTGGAACTGCAATAGCGGCAGGGCGGATGTGCTCGAATCCCTTGGCACCGTCCCGGAGCTTGCGATGCTCGGCGTATTCATCGGATCCGGCAAAAAAGAGGTCAACAGGCGTGACGCCGCTTCCGGTCTGCTCCTTCTGGAGGAGAGCAACCATTCGTCTGTGATGATGTTCTGGGCTGCCATTGCTGTACTAGCATTTCACTTGGGGGCGATGCGAGATTCCAAGCTCAGGTTCAGGTGGGCACCATCAATTCCACCTTCATATGCGATTTCGTTCGTCCATTGCCACGAGTTTACCCGGAAAGGCCGGTGATTCATCCATCAGACCTTGGTATGCTGTCAGCATCCTTCGGTCTGGCCCGGAGGCGGGGGCAGGCAACCTCCTTCGGTCCCTCGAATCCGGATGGTCAGCGTGAACGCAAGCTGACCATGCAAACACGCAGAAAACCGTCGATAGGTCCAAGCAAACGCGTGATGCAAACGCTGCAGCGTGTAGTCCTACATTTCTGGAAGATGCTCCAAGCTGTTGGTACTCGGGTGAGCTGACGTGCGACGCTGCGTTTGCTCTACGCTCCACCAGCGAGGAGCTTGAGGGTTCTGTGGTCTGGGGTGAGAATTTTTCATCGGGCTCCGTAACCTTTACCCTGAGGATATTGCGCACCCTCGGATCTGTACCGCAGCGACGTCCAAAGTACACGATGCCGGCTGGAGCATCAGTCGAGTAGCCGGCCAGGACGCCAAGAGTCGCCATCCTCTGCAGCAGTAGTTCCTCTTCGTGCCGCCGCACAGAGGCGGCGAGCAAAATGAAAAACAGTGGCGGGCGAATGAAGCACCCGTGGCGCCTTGGAAAGCTGCCGGTGCCAGGAAAGGCTTTTCTGTCTGTTCATCTGGGATACGTTAGCATTGAGCTAAAGCCAGAAGTCTCGTCCAAAACGAAAATATCGGGTCCCAAAGTCAGACATCCAAGGAAGGATTGCCGCTCATCGTCCATCTCAAAGGCTCGAGTGATGGCTTGCGTGGAAACTGCGAATAGTGTGGAAACTTTCATCATTCAGGGAAGGGGAAGCAGAAAAGTGAACATTCTTGACTTACCATACAGATGTTGATGTGATTGGGAGAAGAAATACCACCAAATGATCGCGAAAATTGAGGCTTCAAATACTTCACACGCGCCGTGCACGAGCCACCTCGAAGAAAAAAATCGACGACGCACGAGCCATCGGATGGAGCTTGAGATCCGCATAATGGAATGTCCGAGAACCGAGACTGGGGCCGGGTGCATCACCCTCCTTGCTGTCATTTCCCAATACGGTTTAGTCTTCATGAACGTCTGGGTGACGAGGAAATCTTCACAATTTACCCTCGACGCCCATGGACGAAGACACAGGAACAAGCTGGACGACCTGGAAGACAAAAGGTTACGGTCTACGCAATGTGACGATTGAGCCCGTCTGAAAATCATCTGAGAACCTCCTGACATCGTTCATCTTGTCACGGTCTACTCTCATGGAATGAAGAGATCATGGCGAAAGCAACATCTCCAGCGTCACGGATGTCACGTCATTTTCATGAGACGTCAGCATCATTAATATACGCTTAAACATATACACGAAGACAATCCACCGGAGACGCCGCCCCTTCACTCCAGACCGACGCTAATCGCCGCCAACGCCCAGTCCATGAAGCCCGCGTTCGTGTCCAGGATGTTCGTGTTGAACTCAGCCGTGGTCGGGTAGAAGTTACCAGAGGGGCCAAACTCCAGGGTGTATCCGTAGACCTTGTTGACGCCGGGCTTGGCCCAGAAGCGAGAGAAGGAATAATCGTCACTGGCGCCCGACGTAGGGTACAGGCCGACGGCCTGGATGGACGTGTAGGCGCGACCACCGACCGCCTTCATGGCGTTGACCATGGCAGTGCCAACAGTTCTAATGTTGCTGAGATCCGTAGCCGGAATGTACTCCTTGTACGCCGAGTCGCCAACGGGGCCGCGCTTGCCGTCGTAGGCAGAGTTGAGAAAGTTCATGGTGGAAGTGGTCGTTTGGTCGTCATCGTCACCCCAGCTGTAGAGAAGGTCACCGACGGCAGAGTGGATGTCCATGAACCATCTGATCTTGGGGAAAGAATCGTACACGGAGACAAGGTTCTTGGTCTCGGGCTCGGACTCGGCAGCAGTGCCATAGAAGACCTCCGAGCTGGGCGAGGTGGAAGCGGGCGCCTCGGAAGAGTCGAAGTACTTCTTGAAGTTCCACAGGAAGTCGAAGTTGCGGTTGATATCGACACCGATGGAGCTGCCGCTGGAGCCGGACTTTGTGTTGCGGTTCTTGCGCCAGAGGGAGCCGGAGGACTGGTCGTAGGCGACGCCGTCCGCGTTGACCAGAGGGAAGAAGACGATACCGGCGGCAAGGACGCTCTTGACCTGCGCGTTGGTGTAGGTCTTCTTGCCGTAGGTGAGGCCGGTTCCGGCCTTGTTGGCAGCGAGCAAGTCGGAGACCCAGTAGATGATGTTGTCGGGACCGCCACGCTCACGAGCGTGCACCGCGGCGCTGAAGTACAGGTGGTACTGGGACTTGTCGGTGCCGGCCCCAACGAAGTAGGCGTATTGGGTGGCGCCGTTGAACGTCTTGTAGGGCAGGGTGACGGAGCCGATGCCGTAGTTCTTGACGAGAGCGTCGCAGGCCGACTTGATCTCGGCGACATTCATGATGCTGGAGATGGTCGTGCCGGAAGCCCGCGTGCCAAGACCGACAGGGGAGACGGTTCCCGCACTGAAGCGATCGCCGGTTCCGATGGGAGCATTGGCCCTCTTGTCGAGTGATCTCCTGTGGAGGGAGACCTCTGGCACCATCTCGTACTCCTTGGACAGATGCTCGATCTGCTCCTCGGTCAGCCAAGCATGAAGCTTGTAGTGGCTGCCATCTTCGCTGGGCTTGGCGACAGCTCTGCAACCAAAGTCGTAGGTGTCGTTGCGGACGATGTCCCTGCAAATGGTCAGTTTGTGTTCACCGTATGTGCTTTACTTGGCGAGGTATTACCTGAAGGAATCAGGCGTCGGTCCCTGCAGGTAGACGGGCAGGAGCTCTCCGAGCACGACAGTGCTCTGGAGGATCAGAGACGCGATGAGAGAGTACTTCATGTTGATCAAACCGAAAGGTGCGAAGATGCAAGAAGGAACGGCCCGTCGCCAAGAGGATGGATGCAAAGAGTGAACGAGGGGCACGACGTGCTTTCATATGTACGAAGTGTCGTCCTTTTCAGCCCGGCCAAGTCGAACGACAAAAAGCTTGAGTGGACATCGCTGTCCGCCGAAGCTTGCGGTCACGGCAAGAACAGCTCGTTCAAGCAGCTGCCCAGCCCCTGCCCGGCCAACTACCAGTCATTATCGCGACCTGCTTGAATATCCCTGATCCCACCTGCCCGGAACGGCCTAGCGCATCTCTGATCTTGGTAGGTGGGCGAATCATTCATATAAATTCATCAGGCGCCTTGTACGTAAAAGCACCAATTGCCGCGTCAAAGGTCCCTGGCACGACGTCTGGTACCACCTTCCCCCCGATATCTCGACGCGATCGCCGAGCACCTCCTTTTTACGTTGTCGCTCCCGATGTGGGGTGACGACTACCGCGAAGCTCGGAGTTTAGCCCCATGATCCTTTGCAACGAACTTTAGCCTTTCTGGAATAAGCTTATTCTGCACATCAAGTCGCCCGCGGATCATCGCTGCTACAGCCCAAGAATTGAGAATCCGGATTACAGCAAGCTTGTACTTGCGATGCCAAGATTGAAATCTCTCAGGGACCGTTCTGGGTGACAAAACAGAGCGCTGCGTGTTGCTTATGTAATCGGATAGGAAGTTAATGAAATTGCAGTCTCCCAGCGCAAATTCTGAACAGCACTGCTCGTTGCGTGCTGACCCCTGACTGCCGAGGTGGTGACATGCAAGATTCAGCACTTCAAACTCAGCGCCGCTTCCAAATACAACACAACATGGGGGACTGCTGCGAGCATCGCGGACAGCTTGAAGTTGCTCAAGGAAGAAGCAAACAAGTCAAAGCTTGCTCGAGTTGCGCGAATTCAATCGGAATGGGATCATGAATATTTTCCTCCTGCCCAATGCTTGATCGGAGCCAGGACGACCTGCCACATCTGGGATGGTGATGTGCCATCTCACTGCGACAAACTCGGGGGAGCCATTGAAGACGATGTCAAAAAACGCAAGCGATTGGGTTGATATGTCACAGGCGGTTGTCTTGTCTAGTCACATGCCACTTTCGACAGTCAATCGAATGCAAACGAGCAGGCTAGGCCGCCATCAAAGACGAGTCGAAGCAGCGGAACCCTTTCGGTTTGTTGATTGTCATTTGCTTCTCTTCACAAAAAGCAAACGCAAACAATGAAATGAGTTATAAAGATTCGGTTCTCGTGACCTTGCTTGGCATGGAGTTCAAGCCGGCGTTGCAAAACAGTCCTCTTGAGCATTTCCCAGCCCATGCCCTGACCAACACAAGTATTTTCGGCATTGACTGAGATCATTACAGCTTCGAAATAACATGGTGGTGTGCTCTTCGTAGATCTGTCCCACTATGGCAATTCACCCGCCCTGCGACGGTAATTTCAATAACCCAAAATGAGCCTTCCCAAAGGCCTCAACCATCGACGACAACATCTTTTCTTCGTCGAAGGCTTATACAGAGTTCAATCCCTCTTCTATCTATTGATCTCGGGCTCGCTCTTCAAAAAGTCAACCCCAAAAGTCCCAAAGATAACAAACACGAAGAAAGTGCTGGACTTGTAGGCAGAACGGTGACCTCGTGCACAGCTTCGTGAGGATATTGAGCTTCCTTACGACGACATAATGTCTCAGAAGGCTCTTGAGAATCTATTTGCTAGACTTGGCCTAACGCTTGCTATATCGCCAAGCTGATTGCCCGGCCAATCCCGGCCGTCTGGTGTATGCAGCTACACCAAGCCAGAAACCCGCCTACGTTGATGACAGTCCGTCCATGATAATATGTCACGTCTACATTACAACTTAGCCTCAACCACGGACTCTAATGTCGGGCAAATGAGCCATGGACAGACCCAGAGTCAACTTTGCCCCTTCTCGACATCAGAGACATTCAGGCGACAGGTCCAGCAGGCATCGACCAACTCGCAA